CGGATTGCTAAAGGAGATGAATGGAAGACAGCTTTTGGCACTCAGTTGGGACTCTATGAGTACCTAGTGATGCCCTTTGGCCTAGCCAATGCTCCGGCTCACTTCCAGTCATTCATCAATGACATCTTCCGAGACATCATTGGAGTATATGTAGTGGTATACTTAGATGACTTCCTGATCTTCAGTGACACTGAAGAGGTACATGTGAAGCATGTCACCGAGGTCCTCACTCGCTTAAGGAGCAACAGGCTCTTTGCTAAGCTGTCGAAGTGTGAGTTCCACACCAAGACAGTCGAGTTCCTGGGGTACATCATCAAGCCAACGGGCATAGAGATGGACCCAGAAAAGGTGCGCACTGTCAAGGAGTGGCCAATGCCAGAGTCAATCCATGACATCCAGAGGTTCCTGGGTTTTGCCAACTTCTATCGAAGGTTCATAGCCCACTTTGCTCGCATAGCCAAGCCCTTGACAGCACTGGTAAAGCCTATAGAACGGTTCAAGAAGTTCGAGCTACCAGAGGAGGCCCAACAGGCCTTCCACAAGCTCATCCAGGCCTTCACATCAGCAGGAGTGCTTCAGCACTTCGACTACCACCTTCCAACAAGGTTGGAGACTGATGCAAGTGACTTTGCTATAGCAGGAGTACTCAAGCAGGAGCATGAAGGACGATGGCATCCAGTGGCCTTCTACTCTAGGAAGATGTCTTCTGCCGAGAAGAACTATGAGATCCATGATAAGGAGCTCCTAGCTGTGGTCGCCTGCCTCACTCAGTGGCGACACATGCTAGCTGGACTACCAAACCAACTGGTCATCCTCACTGACCATGAAGCCCTCAAGTACTTCAAGTCACAGAGACGCATCACAGGTCGACAAGCTCGATGGGCAATACTACTAGCAGACTTCGACTTCATATTGCAGTATCGACCAGGAGACAAAGGTGGTGAACCCGATGCTCTCACCAGAAGGACAGACATGCAACCAGCCGGTGAAGAGCAGGATCACAATGTGAGGCAACTACTGCCTCCTCGAGTGTTCAAGGAGACAGCAGACCATGACTCGCTCCTAGTGGCCCCCATGATCTCGATGGAGTCCATAGCATCAAAAGGTCTCAAAGACCTGGTCAAGATCTTCCAGCCTTTAGACCAAGAGCTACAGGAGATACATAGGAAGAAGCCTTTCGAACTCAAGGATGACCTATGGTACAGTGGAGGAAGGTTGGTCATCCCCAAGGTGATCATGCCAGGGAGGACCAACAACCGACACTCAAGGAGTGCCAAAGAGGTAGATGGACAGTCTCTCTCTGTAGAGCATCTGCGATTCATGGTGATGACCCAATGCCATGATGGTATCACTGCTGGACACGTAGGAAGAGATGCTACCATCAAGGCAGCTCAACGACATTACTGGTGGCCAAACATGACAGCTTGGATTGCAGACTATGTAGCAAGTTGTCCTGTATGTGCTAGGTACAAAGCTCCTCGTCATCGTCCATATGGTTTGCTACAGCCACTAGCAACCCCAGACAGGCCCTGGGGCTCCATATCCCTCGACTTCATTGAAGGACTACCACCATCAAAGAAGTATGACTCCAAGACCTATGACTCTATCCTAGTCATCATCGACAGGTTAACCAAGTTTGCCATACTAGCTCCAACCCATAAGACAGTCACAGCCAAACAGACTGCAGTATTGCTATATGGACACATGGTTAGACTCTTCGGATATCCAGATCACATGGTCTCGGACCGAGGCAGGCAGTTCATATCAGGAGCATGGAAGGCATTTGCAGAGCAAATGGGTGTGAAGCACTCACTTAGCACGGCCTACCATCCTCAAACTGATGGTCAGACAGAGAGAGTCAACCAGGTCATAGAGCAATATCTCAGGATGTACTGCAACTATGAGCAGAATGACTGGGCCAACCTGCTGGACACTGCGGCCTTTGTATACAACAACACGGTCCACAACAGCATTGGTGTCTCACCATTCTTTGCATGCTATGGATGGAACCCCAAAGCTCATCCTGACATCCCTCAACGACTAGGAGTCAATGATCCAGGTCGCTTCGAGTACCTCATGGATGGAAAGGAGCGTTGCAAGTACCTCCAGGAGCAGATCAGAGAGGCACAACGTAGATCAGTAAACCAGTATAACAGGAAGCACAAGGACATCGAGTTTAAGGTGGGTGATATGGTCTATATCAACCGACGAAACTGGAAGACAAGGAGACCCACACCCAAGTTAGACACCCGGTTTGCAGGACCCTACCCAGTTCAGGAACGGGTAGGACGCCGAGCTTATCGAATCACATTGCCAGCAAACCTTAGGGTGCATGATGTGTTCCATGTCTCCATGCTCGAGCCAGCAAGAACAAGTTCTCTTCCTCAACGTGCTGAACAGCCCACCATACCATCACTTCCAGATGAGGACCTCGACTTCGAAGTCGAAGCACTCATCGACAAGCGTTCACACAATGGGACTACGGAGTACAAGGTGTTGTGGAGAGGGTACTCAGAGGAAGCTGCTTCATGGGAACCAGTAGAGAACCTCAACTGTCCCGACCTCATCCAGGAGTATGAGGTGTCGGAGGGGGGACGAGTGAGTAGACAAAGTAGAGAACAGGAGGAGTAGAGAGAGGAGGATGACGTTGAGAGAAGGAGGAAGGATGATGTTGGCGATGTTGTCAAGGAGGAGGAGTCAGCATGAACCAGACCAGAGCATGCCTCGACGGAGCTCGGCTCTTAAGAGGGGGGTAGTGTCATGGGCCTGGATGCTCAAGAAGCAGGAGGGTCACTGGTTCATATGGATGGAGCACAGGTATCGAAGACCTAGTCGATACCAGTAGAGAGCATGGTCGTAGTGCAGTCTCCATGGAGACCATGGACTCCTATGGATTCACATGCAAAGGAGCACTGAGCCCATATGCGAGGAGAACCAGGCACAGCCACGAGGAGGACCAAGCTCAAAGAGCAGGCGCAGCCATGAGGAGGACCAAGCTCAGATGGTTACCACTCAGGGGCTCGAGAGACAGGGAGTCGACACAGGTCATGAGGAGGAGGAGCAGTGTCGAAGGAGTCGACACAGGTCATGAGGAGGAGGAGCAGTGTCGAAGGAGTCGACACCACTCAAGAGGCACAGGGGTGCCAAGCAGGAGAGGCCCCTGAGCAGTACTCGATGAAGAAGGTACTCTCTGGAGAGAGAGAGCAGGAGCAGCATCGCTGGCGATGCTGAGTAGAGGTATATAACCATGCTTTCTCATCATCATAGGTCGAGTGGATCCTCATCCACTCTACTCACCATAACTAGTTATCACTTCAGCATAAGTATACATTAGTTTCAGTCAGCATAGCAGCAATCTATCAAGGTTGCTCCTCATCGTAGTGTGTGTGTTGTATCACCACTACCTGACGTCCGAAGGCGCCCATAGCAGGTTAGCGGTCCGGATATAGATAGAACCGAAGGCAGTAGTCCACTGCGGTCCGGGGATCACTTCAAGCATCAAGTCAACACACTGGACACTCGTGTTGACGCCACCAACCTTATCACCAACACCATCAACCTCATTATCATCGACGCCACCAACCTTATCATCAACACCATCAACCTCATTATCATCGACATCACCAATCTCATCACCAACACCATCAACCTCATCATCATCAACACCCACACCAGACCTTGGTGTCATCATAACATTGATATTGATCGTGCCGAGCTACCCCTGAACGGAGTGTCCACAGAGGTCAGCCGAAACCTACGATAGTATATACAACGAACGCCACCTGCTGTCACTGCACAACTTGATAGTCACCGATACCGAGACAATAGCTGTCACACAGTTTAATAGTCACCGAGTATCTCGACAGACCGACCTGGGTTTCAGGCGCGAGACCCCTGACACAGGCTTTGTAATGTCTCTTGAGTAGCTTTGGTTTTTTCACTAACCTTCATGCTTTGTAATGACAGTAATGAAGTGCTTTTCTTACTGTGGTTGGGCATGCTTTGATTTGAAACATCTCCTGCAGTGCATGACATGCTTTCCTGACTGTGGAGGTTGAATTGAGCTCAAAATAGTGGTCCAGGAAGTGAACATGACAAGGCTGGAGTTTTCTCAGCCAGCCCCCCTTTGACTTTGGAACATCAGTGGAGGTGCTTTTGCTGATACAATTCACAGTAGACTTGCTCATACCAAGTTGCTTGGCAACTGAACAGGTAGATTCCCCATTTTGGATGTGAAAGAGTGCCAATCAGCACCTCTCTGGGGTGGTTTTTGGCATGATGGTATAGATATGATGGTGTCAGACTGGAAGTGCCACTGGATCACTCACAGTCATCTGATTGAGCTGAAACTTTCCATGTCACTACTTTTGATGTGTATGAAGGTGCCCACCAAGTTACATTGCAAGTTTCATTGTAGTCAAAAGCCCACAAGGTCAGGAATGGAGTGGTGTCACTATTTGGGAGCATGCTCCATAAACTGTCCCACAATAAAAAAAAAATCAGCTCTTCTTCATAGCACAATTTTCTTAGTCAATGTCAATATCAATTACACAGTCTTGGAGAGAAGAAGCAGGGCTTTCAGATGATATGAGACAGTGTGGCAATACAACTTATAGCTATTGAGCATTAGAGTGATGTATGGTGACATGTAAAATTATGGACTTCAACAGATAGAGTTGTGATTTTGGCGTGCATGAAGTCTCGGAGTGGTAACGGTCCAAATCTCACATGGCGCACAGCGTTCATCTCTTCATCCGGACTCATCACCTCCACGGCACTCCACTGCAGCGGTGCTTCTACGCGGAATCAAGTTTTGAATGGTGCATCAATCTTGTAGCGCCAGCCTACAGGACTTCGGATGAGCTCGTCTTAGCACACAATCATAACACTCACATTTTCACCTCCACGTCCAGAGCTTGCTGATCGCTGTCAAACTGCTGTCCACACGAAATACACCGAGGGGACTGCAGCGTCAGCTCATATCAAGAGCTCGTACCGCCATGGCGCCAACCTGGAACAAAGCGCTGGTGCGCATCGCTTCTGCCAAAGATCCATCGGCTCTACCATCAGACGAAAATGTCCTGTTTCACGATGACCGCACGATCACGATCTACGACAAGTTTGCCAAGTCTCAATACCACTTCCTCGTACTGCCTCGCATCCCATTCAAGGCCTCTGCTTCCGGATCGAAAACCAAAAAGCAAACCGGCACTCCAACGCTGAGCGTTGCAAATGGTAAGCTCAACTTCGGGCCCACTTCTTCTAACAATGTTCCGCCATCACATATGCATAGCATCTCAACGCTATTAGCGAGTCCATATGCAGCAGAAGTGCTCGATGCTGTCCGAAAAACAAGTGATCGGGTGATGGAGCACATCAGGGAGGACATGTTGAAGCATCACGGTGTCACATGGAACGTAGAGCGGGCCTTTCATACGGTACCGAGCATGGAACATCTGCATCTTCATGTCGTGTCGATGGACCTCGTCTCGGATCGGCTCAAGCACAAAAAGCACTACTTGTCGTTTCACCCCACTGTCGATTTTGCGTTGCGACTCGATACGGCGGACAAGCTGGTCAAGGAGGGCAAGAAAGCTCTTCCGAAGAGCGAGCACGCCTACGAGCAGCTGCTCAAAGGTCCGTTGACGAGCCATCATACCGGCGAGGGGTTCAAGTATATGCCAGATCTCAAAGCTCATCTTGACTCCTACTGGCGCACACATATCCTGTCATCGCATTCTAGAGCGACAGATAGCAAGAAGCCAAACACCAAACCAATTAGGGATGCTTCCGATGGCAGCCCTCTAGATCAACGGCCATCGCACACTCGCAATACTGACATTGCGAGCCTTCCAAGTCGACTAGATGATACCAAACAAACCTCATCTGGATCTGAAGATGAAGAGCCACCGTTGCCGTTGAAGTAAACGGCCAATTCTCTTTTCCTGCCACACCGTATCTTACTCCTGAGCTCGATGATCTCATGCATTGTACAGTCTCACGTGATCGCTGCTGTGAGGCTCATCTGCTAGAGGCTCTCGTCGCCAGACTTTTGAGCCAGTATATGTAGTACATTGTCGATTGATCCGCTCGCTTGCGAGAGAAGACGGCGAAAATGTGCCGGTGTGGAGTTATGAGTTCCGTGGGATTGGTGACGTCCTCAAACAGCGAATGCCAGGACGCCTCTCGCCGCTTGCCTGTGTGAGACACAGAGTGTGCTTGTTGAAGAACGTGCAGCAAATGGCGGTGAACGCAGGTGTCGATTGCGATAAGATGTAAGAACTAAGTACAAGACAATGACTAGTATAAATATGTGTCTCCCCAGCAGAGACATGCTACCCTGTGGAGGAGGTTGAAACATGACGGGGCAACATACTACGGATCCGAGTGAGAGAAGGTGGCGAAAGTGTGAGATCGAACTAGAGCTCACATGCTTTCACCGTGCTTCTTAGGAACATGCGTGGCTGCTGACAGGGTGTCCCATGCGAGCGAGAGAAAAGCGCGTCTGTTCTACTTACCGGCCAAGTGCGAGAGAGTGTCAGCCGTGACGAATAGGAGGGTCCAGTTAGCAAAGACACATACGAAGCGATCCGCGGTCACTGTCGCCGTTCAACGGTATCTCTGTTCCGAACGACCTTTTCGAAACCATCATCTCGTCTCCTCCCGCGCACCACGTCACCGAACTCTGCACTCCAATACAGGCACCTCAGCATACAGCTCTCGTTGATCGGCATACTTCTGTGTCATTCGATTGGGCAACAGCCGCCCCTTTTCATATCTCCGACGCCGTTTATACTCGCCACCCCTCCCTCGTCGGCTATCTCGAAATCAAAGCTCTTGACTCACAGTAACACACAACGCGAACAAGTGCCTGAGCATCGTCACGACTCGGCAGACTCAACAACGTCTGACCCATATTAAAGGAAGATGGCAACTCTGCGTCCAGGCTCAACTCCTAAACGCACCGTCTCTTTTGGTCCTTCCGACACCGTCACTCTCAGCTCCTCCAACGACGATATCCCTTCTCCCAACCATCAAACCAACGGCACCGACGGCCTCACTCCCTCCTTATCGACCCAAACTGGCTCTGACCTGGGCGAACCCAGCACACCGCGTAATCCAGCCAACGCCTCCCCACCTGGCTCTGTCCTCAAATCCGCTATGAAGCCCGGCAAAGACCACAAGCGTCTTCCTCCACCCGAGCAATATCAGCACCCTGACCCCCTCCTCCGCCGTCTCCGTCTCGTCGATGCATTCGGAGTCCCCGTCGACCTTCGCAAGACCTTCCGCGACACCAAAGTAGTAGGCTTCTACTTCGCCTCGCAATGGGCGGGTCAACCACTCAAAGAATACCACCAAGCCATCTCCGATTTCTGCAGGCAGCACCCACACGAATTCAAAGCCATCTATGTCAGCGTCGATGTCGACGAACAATGGTACAAGGCAGGTGTCAAAGATAAGCCCTGGATTTCAATGGTTTGGAATGATGGGTCGAGTATGCCTGCTGAGAGGGCTGATCGCACCGCTGCTCCCACCTCACCTGATGGAGATCTGGACGAGTTGCCAAGGCTGTACAACAACGAGGACTTCCTTTTGGCGAACGAGCAGGATATTGATGAGAGCTTGTCGCACACGGATAAGTCGGGCGAGGCTTATTTGAGGCCGTTCTCAAGGGTTCATTTGGCGGCAAAGTTGAACATCATTGCTGCACCGACGCTGTGCATTTACCATCTAGACAGTGGGGAGATGCTAGAGTGGAATGTCAGGATGGCGAGGTTGGCTAGTCACAGGAGCAGAGAGACTTGGGAGAAGTGGAGGGCGGGTGAGAGTGCCGGTTCGTTTGGTATCAAAGATGCATTTGCGGTCGCACCGTATACCTTGTTGGTTGGTGTGTTTGCGTTGTTGTATTTCCTCTTTGTGAGGTGGGCGGGCAAGGAGTATAATGTATTGCAGAGAGGGTTGCATGCGTTGTTGGAGAACAGGGCTGGGAGTGCTCATCAGTTGGTTGAGAAAGCGAGCGAGTTGTGAGTCACACCGAGGGAGATCTTTTTTTTTTTTTTTTTTTTTTTTTTTTTTTTTTTGGGGTTTCCCTTCGTATGCTCATTGTTTCAATTGACAATATATATCCGTTCGTTGCACGCTCTTACACCGGTCTGCGGCCGCTATAGGATGAGACGAGAGGCTTGCGATGCTGTGACATTGCAAAACGAAGGTGACATTGCAGAATGTGTCTGACCGTTTACGAACGGTAGTCTGCATTGATGTCAATGTACTCCCTACTCAAATCGCAGGTCCAGTAGGTACACTCTTCGCTACCCGTCTTGAGATCAATAACAATCTTAATGTCCTCTTTCTTCAGCAACTTCTCGATCTCGCTTTCGTCCACCTGGACCGGGTTTCCATCCTTCAACACTGTGACGCTACCGGCCTCTGCACCGGTTGGATCGACAAAACTGACCGAAACCTTGCTTGGGTCAATACTCTCTGTCAACTTTGGATGCGCACCACCTACAGAAGCCAAGATACGACCCCAGTTAGCATCCTCGCCATGAATCGCGCACTTGAATAACATCGAAGTGACCAATCTCGACAACAAGCCATGTGCTACATCGAACGAAGGAGAGTTGGTGCAGACGATCTCGATGAACTTCTCGGCTCCTTCACCATCTCGTACGATAAGTTGGGAAAGTTCTTGGCAGAAGTTGGTGAGTTCTTTGACGAATGGTTCAAAGTCTGGACTCGATTCGTCGATTTCAGCCTTGGAGGCGGGTTTGGCTTGACCATTGGCGAGAAGGAGGATGGTGTCGTTGGTAGACATGTCTCCGTCGACAGAGATGCAGTTGAATGATCGCGAGACTGCTCGGTTCAATGCCACCTGCAAGGCGGTCGGGTGAACAGCAGCGTCGGTTGCAATCAAGCCGAGCAAGGTAGCATGAAGCTTGCCGCTGGAGGGAGAAGGGGTGGGACCAGTCATGGCAGGGTGAATCATACCTGCGCCCTTATCGATACCGATCATGTGAATCTCTTTGCCTCCGAGGGTGAAGGTCTTTGCACGCAGTTTGGGGAAGGTGTCGGTCGTCATGAAAGCTCGAGCGGTTTCTCGCCATGATTCGGGGTCGCTTTTGAGAATCATACCGTTGGCGAGGTGTGGGATGCAGCGTTTAATGGTAGGCATGGGTAATGGGACACCGATGACACCGGTGGATAGCAACAGCGTTTCTCGGCCTTTCGTGTTGGATGCTGCGAGCCCAGGATGCGGGGCCAAATTCTTCTTTACCAGTAGAACACACTGCTCTGCATCTTGCATACCTTTGGTTCCTGTAACGGCGTTTGCGCATCCTGAGTTGACAAGAATTGACTGTACGCGTGTTCCTTCCGCTTGTTTGGCTCCATCTAGGAAGACCTGGTTGGAGACCACCACAGGGGCGGCCTTGAACACGTTACGAGTGAAAGTACCAGCGGCAGCTGCTGGGACTGTCGACACAATCAGCGCAAGGTCTGGCTTTGGATTGGGGTTGGATGCCGCCGCAGCACCCCCAGCTGGCTTTGGCGAGATGGCAGCCTTGATAGCGGCATATGTTGAAGAGACGACAAAGCCCTTAGGAATATCAGAGGCAGAGATGGGCTGTGCAAATCGAGCGGGCTTGTTGAGCTTTGCGCCAGCATCGAGTGATGCGGCTGAGGTAGCGAAGTTGCGAGCACCGCGACCCAAGGTGGATCGGGAGAGAAGCGAGGAGATCATCCCACAATGGAAACAGCGACTGCGATCCGGCGTTTGGCGTAGAAAAGTGGTTGGAGATGAAGGAAGGAGGGGCTCAAGTAAGGTGGAGACTGCTTTTGCAGCAGACGGTGGAGTCATCTTTCAGTTCGAGTCAATCCTTTACCAGATTTCGCGTTTGGATCTGCTCAACAAGCTGCTCCTTCTGCAGAAGACACCCTAAGGTCCTCTCCATCCCTACATCTGCTCTCTCGCTCACAAAAGCATCGACTAGCGGCTGTTAGCAGCGACCGACTTGCTCTTGGCGGAGAAGCTACGTAGACAAGAGTTTGGAGTACCCCTAATGGAGGATGTGGTATAGTGAAACGAGAGATACAAGCAACTCAAAGTACAGAAAAACATTACATGTCTCGACTGCTATCATCTCCTGCCGGCGGCTGCTTCACAACGACCTTGGTCCCTCTGACCTCGGTCAACCATCCCGGCAGGCCGTCTAGCTTGACTCCTGCCTTGTCATCCTTCTCTTCGTCCACTTCACCCGCATCCAATCTCTGCGTCCTCCTATCCATTCCCGCAGCGACCAGCTTTCTCAATCCGGCCAACACATGCGTACCCTCCAGCCTCAGCTTGACTCTCGGCTTATCCGGATCAGCGTTATATGCTTCCATATCGACCAAGCTGCGTGTGTTGTACTTCTGCATGTCTGGGAACGGCAGCTGAAGCTCGTACTCGATGCGCTCTACCCTTGGCAGACTTTCATCAGAGGCAGAAGAAGGTGCGGGACCAAATAGCTCGTTTGCTTCTCGTTGAGACTCCATCTGTACTGTGAGCGCTTCGCGGGTATGAGAGTGTATTTCTTGCGGTGTTTCGGAGGAGCCTAGTGTGAAGGACTGGCGGCGTTGTGTGGGGCGAACTGAAGTGGATGCTGAAGACAGTGAGAGAGTCTCCCATTCTGAGCCAGACGCTGGCGGTGTAGGTGGTCGGATACCGAAGGTGTTCGAGTCTTCCTCTCGACGTCTTTTAAGTGGTGCAATGAGAGGTCCATCTTCAGCGCCTGGTCCGCTGCCACCGTTTGCCTTTCGCATTTGCCTTACTTTCCCACCTCCTGCTACGCCTGCCGGTGCAGCACTGATGTCCGATGTTGACGAGAGGCGCCCTGACTCGTGCAAGAGAATCTCCCTGAGTGCGAGTGGATCCTTACCTCGCAATTCGCCTAGCGTTCGCCTGTTGCCAGCAGAATCTTCGCCTACTTCGTTGAGTTCGTTAAGTAGCTTTCTTGCCGCAGCTGAGCCTGCGGTTGGTTTGGCATAGTTGACTGTAGCAGCGCCTGCAGCGGACGCGAACGCGGACAGTGCCATCTCTTTGTTTTCCGTTCCACGACCAAGACTGCCCGACACCAGGAGGAAAGGAGTCCGCGGTATGTGCAAGATGTGCAAGCCTGTGCTGCAGATATCGCTAGGTAACGGCGCAAGGACGATACGGAAGTAAGAGAAGTCGTCGGTCCATTCAAGAGTAGTCGAGACATCTTTCTTGGCTTCCTTGTTATCGCGCGATCGTGGATGAAGGTAGATATGATGCTCGAAATAGTGCGCCAGCTCGCTGCCCAGCCGCGACCGAATCTGGACCTCACTCAACCTCTCCCAACCCTTCCCAGCCGCATCCACCTCGTCATCGTACTCCAGCTTCACTGTCGTCCAAGTCTTACTGAGCTGCCTGGCGTGCATGTAAGTCAGATCGAGCTGAGCAACCATTGCGTAGCTCAGACCTTCTGGCCAGTCAACATCCGTGATTCGATCCACTGCACGAGCTTTCGGCACTTTCGGGTCGGCCATAGGTCCTGTCCAGAGCAACCGGAGCTCGTCCATCGATCGACAGCGGCGCTCTTCGTTTAGGTCCAAGATGGCATGGTAGAGTACCAGGTTGGACGCAGGATCGTCCTCTCCCGGTCTAGGCTGTCGGCGCGAGAGCATGGGCGAGATGTAAGATGGACCAGGGTTGTCGAGCCATCTTGTAACCAGTGAGATAAGCTCTGTTTTGTCCAGCCGAGAAAGCAAGCGGCGAAGGCTGATGGAGTGCGGAACGATATGATAATCCTCGTGCGATGTGAGTTTATTCCGCGAGGACGAGGGTTGAGAGATCATGGTGCCAAATACCACTAGGACGTCACGTCGACTATCAAGTCCGTGCGTCTAGTTCGTTGTAGTTAACGGCAACACAAACGAAAGAAGCTGATGGTGATCAATTCTTTGTGTTGGTTTGTGCGTGTGTTGCCTGTATGTCAGTGAGAGATGGATGAAGTGCCGATGACGTTGAGGAGTTGTTGGCATTAACAAGAATCAATTAACTGCTGAGGATAACGATCCAGCAGACATAATCGGGGATCGGGCAGACCCAAGTTAATCGGGGATAAAGCGAATCTGATCGAGGAAAGGATCAGACAGAGCCAATCACAGAGAGAGATTAGATGTTACTGAGCCCCGCCCATTGTCGTACTTCATTGCTCATGGTGATACCCCCCACACATGGGATGAACCAACTATTCGTATATATATCAAGCGGAGAGCACTAGGCTCTCGCCATATTCCCTAGTCAATTGAGTATATTTTGTTCTGTCTTTTAGCAGCGACATCGTACTTAGACTCTCCCCGATCACCAGTATCGGGACCGAAACGATCCCAGTTTCTCTTATTAACGAGTGGGATTGTTGGTGTTGGTCTTGGCTGGCTGTCAGGTTGCAGGATCGCGTCGCGACTCTGTTTCGAGCAAATTGGCCTCCCGATGTGAATCCATGCCCGATACGTGGCACACACACGTGATTTGTGCCAGATGGGGCTGCCGATGGTCAGAAAGCGCTGGCTTGGGCCAATTCACTCTCGAGATTGGAATTCTTCCGAATCTGACCGGCACACTCCACTTCAATGAATCTCTCATCGTCATCTTCCATCATCGCAGCTTCGCATTCGTTCCACGTCGACCTACAACGGGAGGAGTACAGGACACAGGATCATATCGCAGCACACCGCTAGACACACACGTCACCCAAGATGGGTGCCGCAGCTTCAAAACAGAATGCACCTGCATCGACAACGCCAGCTCCTGAGGACAAGCAGGCGTCTCACCTCCAGGTAAGTGCATTGGCGCTGGCTCTAAGAGTCTTTTTCACTCATCGGAGCTGACCTCTGACCCCGTACTCTCTGCTTCGCTGTCCATCCTTTCGCCGCTCGCAGTTCGGCCGTTCTCTCTTGAATCAACTTGACAAAACCTCGATCGACAAAGTCGAAGGCCCCGACGCCGCCCGTCAAACAACCCTTGACACCTCCATCCAACAAAAGATCAAATCCGAAATCGACCGTTTACGCAAAGAAGAAGCCGAAGTGCGATCCGAGATCGAAAAGGCCATCGAGAAAGAGAACCTTGCTCGCGAATCCAAGTACAAGGGTGCTTCTGAAGGCAAGAACTCAAACGTGCTTCGTCAGGAACTCGATGCACTCAGAAGCAAGATCGACAAGTACAATAAGCAAAAAGATGTCACGAACTACGCAGGTGTCAAGGAGGCTCAGGAGAAGTTGGTGCAGTGCTACAAGTCTAAGCCGGAAAGGACACTGGATTGCTGGAAGGAGGCAGAGGAGTTTAAGAAGGCGGTCGCTGGGGCTGAGAAGCAGTTCATTGCTTCCTTCGGCTAGATGTAGTAGTGTATAGCAGAAGCTTGAAGTGGGAAGGACTGAACTTGTAGACATTGAATGTGCCTGGGTAAAAGGCGTAGATGCAATCCATATCATTCTCGCACAACAAAGCATGCATACTCAGCCTGGTTTCACATGGAACGTCTTTTCTTGACAGTTGCCTCCAGTCAATCTACCCTCTGACGCCACGACTCTCGGATGGTCCTGCATCGGCAGCGCACATTTTGTTTACCTCAAAGAACGAACCTTAGGCTATATGATGGTTCGAACGCAACAGAGGTCAGGTTTCAGGCAATGTCTCACGTGGTGTACCGGATCTATGCCTATATTACGGAGTCTCTATGATGCGTAGCCATGGGAGAATGCATCGATTCATGCACCGATCCATTTCGCTCGGTACACAATAGTAGGAGACTCGATCTCCTTCTTACTCTGAACCACTCTCAGCTCTCTTCTCCTCATCCGGTCCACTTTCGCTTGCGCCTCATCTACACGATCGCCCTTGTTGCCTACGTTTGATTCTAACTCGTCAATGACTTTGCATGTATTGCTGAGGATTCCTTGAAGACTAGCAATAGCCAGCTCGCTTGCTTTTGCTATCGGAGTCAGCGGCTTGCCTGTTTCTCCATTCACTGCTCCATCAGCAGCTGAGTCTTGGCTTTCTGGTTGAAACCTTCCCAATGTCAGCGCTGCGAACATATCACCCACACCCGAAAAGTATCCCTGAACTTCCGGGAACTGAATCGACCAGATCTCCAATCCCTGGTCTTCCAATTCTGGCGCCTGTCTCTCCCCGCTGGCATCGAGAGAAATATCGCAGCTAGATCCGACTTGCAGCATCGCCGGTCTACCATCAGGCAGTGTCTTATGAGCACCAATAGCAGCAAGATCTTCATCCGGCAACTCAACAGAAGTAATGATAACGTGCGGCACTTTATGCTTCTTGTGCAGCGTCAGGATGACGTTCTTCAAGCTCTGAAGACCAGTGATATTGATACCTGTCAATGCTTGAGCTTCAAACTGGTTGGGTGTGATGATCGTTGAATACTGCAGCATTTCTTGGTAGATAGGTAGGACTTCGGGCGCAACATACATTCCTCTGCCCATGTCTCCCATGACTGGGTCGAGCAGGTAGATGAGGCCTCTTTCTTGTGCGCCTTGCCTTGTGCGGAGTTTTTTGACTAGTTCGAGAACGGTTTGAACGACGGCTGCGGAGGGCATATAGCCGGTGAGCATGCGCGAGTATCGGAGAAGACCGTTCTTTTCAAGTCCGGAGAAAATGTCGGAGAGGTGGTCTGCATCGAATCGGAGTCCACCCCACCGACCATAGCCAGTGTGATTGGAGAACTGGACTGTGTTGGTTACGTCTACATCCCAGCCGAGAAGTTGAAGGGGAAAGGTGGCAGATCGATTGCCGACATAGCCTGATACTACATGGGACTGGACGCTGAGGATGCGGGTCGAGTCAGGAACGTTGGCTGCCATCTTGGCTGCGACTTGTAGTTGATTTGGATTTGGTGTGTGCATCGAAGTTGTGTACGGTGTGAGAGAGGTAAGATGCTTTGCTGAATCTCAGAGCCAAAACGTCGAGTATATGTTGCAGGAAAGAAGATCGAGCAGAGATCGTGAGTAGATATGGGTTTGGATGAAGTTGCGAGAAGAAGCTTTGAGTGAATCGAGGTTCGTATCTTTTAGGCGAGATTTAAGCGTTTCACTCGCCCTTCCGGACAATTGACCGAGTCGAGAAGAAGCACTCAGAAAAAGCAGGCTCACAGAAACGAGATTGCAGCTGGAGGCTTCGACACCCAACAACCTCCTTCCTTCGTCCTCAACTTCTCACACTCCTGTCAGCCCCTCCCTCAACGTTGGCAAAGATGGATCAAGAAGCATTCCGCAAACTGGTCTCGTCCTCATCAACCATTGCAGCGCCCTCCACATCCTCGAACCGCTCGTTCGGTAAAACGCACCGCCGTGCACCCGCAGCTTCTACCTCAGCCACCAAACCAACCGATCTTAAACCACACAAGCTCAAGTCCAAGTCAAAAGAGGATGGCTATGTTGACCGTGCAGCTGCTCGTCGATCAGGCACACTAGCTGCTGAATTCGAACAAGTCGAAGCGCTTCATCAAGATTTTGAAGCACGCATTGCAGCAGCGGAGACAGAAGAGGAGAGACAGCGGTTGAGAGATCAGATCAGTAGCGTTGGCGGAGATGCAAAGTATTCGGTGCTTGTGAAGGGGCTTGATTGGGGATTACTAGCTCAGAACAAGGCCAAGTTGGAGAAGGAGGGTGGCGGCAAAGGGGAGGAAGGCGAGGGTGAAGGGGATTTGGAGTCAGCGTATCAAGAAGCCAAGGGAGAGAGGGTTGAAGCCGGGGCGAAGAGAAGCAGAGAGGAGATTGTGGAAGCGATCAAGAGACGGAGAGAGGTCAAAACTGCGGCAGCCGGAGATGCGGAAGCGAGTGGAAGCGGGTTCCGTCCAATCAGTTTCAAGCCGATCGACGCAAGCGCGGACAAGAAGCATGAGGAGGATTCGGAGTACAAGTGGGTCAACGGAAAGCGGATGCGAAAGAAGAAGAGGAAGCACACAAGCTCTACAGATGAGCAAGCGAGACCACTTCCTCCCGCCGAGGATCCGATGCAGGCTAGCTCGAACGTCTCGGCCGCACACCAACCAGCTAAGGCACTAGCGAAGAAAGAAGAGGAGCAACAGCCAACTCCTCAACGGCCCACAGCACCGACAGTTGAAACAGAGGCCGAGCGGTCAAATCTAGCATCAGAGATCCCTTCCTCACCCGTGCGTCGGACATCTCCCGTCAGCTCGACTAGCATCGATGCGACAGCCGAGCTCGAGCAGCCTCCACCAGCACCAGAAGAAGACGAGTCAGAAGACGAAGACATCTTCGCCGACGTCGGTGGCTGGGACGGTATTCCGGAGACGAAGGAAGAAGCTGAGAATCAGGATAGCGATGAGGAAGAAGGTCGCCATTCCTCGCCTTCTTCGCCTACGCCACATGTTGACGCAGACATTGGCGCGAAACCGGATCCGGCCGGAATAGGTGCTTCAAGGACAGCTGAGCAGAAGGATGAAGGCCCTATTATGCCGCTCAGAGAACCTAGCTGGTCGCCTGCGTCGACGCCTGTGGTCGCCAAAGAGCCTTCTCCACAGTCGAATGCCATTGCCACGCCAATGGATCCAACCTTATCTGAGATGAAACAGCCCGAGCAACCTGCCAAGACAGCTGTGGTAGAAGAGTCGACGATCACGAAACCAAAGAAGTCCAAATGGGATGACTTGGACGACGACAAAGATAGGAAGAGGAAAAAGAAGAAGAGCAAACATCATTGATGCGATGTGTTTAGATACCCGTCTTTGCATTATGGTATGGTTTTTTGTATTCACAGCTTCTTATGTGCTTACTTCTCGTGGGGCATGTGACTTTATCTCATTCGTCAGAACGGTGTGAGAGTGTTGCTGAGCAGAGGTGGTATTACAGATGAAATGAGCTTGAAAGCTTGGGTATAGATACATGACAAAACTGTTGCTAATAGCAACGAAATCACTTTGCGGCACTGAGAACACCGACGCCTTTCTCCCTTACGACTTTGAGACAAGCAGAGCACTTGGGATGAACTAGGACGAGTTCTGCATGAACTTCTACGTTTGCCTCTTGGTCTGCTCCTTCCTTGTCGGAATCTGAAGCGAGGAGGCCACCATGAAGAGTTGGAACGGCAGCGTGGATGGGACCGTCGGCTGTATGCTCAGAGAGAGGTGCAACTTCGGCCTGCGAAGTACGACGACTAGCGTTTACACTTGCGACTGTGCTCGAAGCGCGATGCTGGTCGCTCTCGATGGACCATGAGCGGTTTCTAGCTGGTGAGGATGCATTGCGCTGCATCTCCATCCAGCTGTCGACGGCGCCGATACCGGAGGGACGTTCAAGGGCCAGATCGCAGGCAGCACAATCATCGCACCCAACAGCACTGATAGCCGATGTCGTTGCAGCAGGTTGACTAGCCGTCGTGGCTGGAGATGTCCTGGGGCTGGCCGAGGAAGCAGTCATAGTGTTCGGTGCACGCTGAACCTCGTGAGTAGGAACAGCCGAGGCGCCCTGCTTGGCGAGACAACCCGCACATCGACAGTTCTCGCCGCATCCACAGGGAGGAGGGACAAACTCAGTCGACATATCGACGGCTTGTAGCAGAAGCTCGATGCTGTATGCTGTTGATGCTGAAGCGCCTTTACCTGAGCAGCAGCTGCTTGTAGCTGGCTTCGACGTGGGCACATCCGTAGATGGCATGGATTGCATCTGTCGAGTTGGTGAGGCGCGCTTGGCTTGACGACAGGAAGGGCCGGAACAAGAGCAACGACTTGGGTCGCAGTCTTCGAGATTGCTGGTCTGCTGCCTGGGCGAAATCGGCAGCTTGCGTTGCCGTTTTTCGGAGCAGCATGTGCATGAGCCAGTGCTGCGACAACCACAAGGGTTCATGAGGTTGGACAGCGAAAGGGTCGAGGAGCGACGAGGCTTAAAAGGATCAATCGTTTGAGGCATGGTGCTGTGTCCGTCGGTGCGTCGAGCAACAGTCTGAGCCGTGTGAATGCTGGGCAGACTCCAGAAATGTTGAGCGTGAGGAGGACGAATGGGAGCAAGGAGGTTGTCATATGCCGACGAATCTGATATCGAGATGTCAACTGACTCTGTATCGCTGATCCTGCGTGCTGACATGGCGTTCTTGGCCTGTGTCGCCCTGGCTACCTCATGTAGCTTGGACCTCTTCGCTGGTCGTGCATCTTCGCTGCAATCGCTGACTCGGCGAGACGACGTAGGTGCAGTGGTGCTGGGCAGAATGGGAGCAAGGGTGTTGATAGTCGAGCCTCTCTTTTGAGGGTGCGAAGCTGTCGTTGTCGACGTCAAGGCTGTTGAAGATGTTGATGCCGGGTTCTTCTTGCCGATGCAGTCGCAGCGAACGTGCCTGCCACTCTCCATTCGCTTCTTGCGGCAAATCTCACATTGGGTTGGTGGTCTGCCTTTGCTGCGGATAGGATACAAGGGACCCTTAGAACCATCCTTGTGTGTGCAGGAAGAGGTGCGGTGGCCACGGATGCAAGAGGCGCAAGCGTACTTGACGCCACCAGTTGATGGATCGGCGTGGTGCTCATCGCTATTCGGACTGGTTGCAGGTGCAAGTGAAGCGGGATCAGCAGCCCGACTCGAAGATGGAGAGGAAATGGTGAAAGTCATCCTTGGTGCGGGAGTGTCTCTGGTACTGCTGGTGGACGAAGACGATGTGAAGAGGTTGGTGTGAGATGACTCGCCAGAGCGAGGCATGGACAGCATGGACCCGCTATAGCGATAAGGGAGAAAGCTGGGCGGCCGTGATGGAGGTGCGGTTGTCGCTGTCATGCTGAGGTTGCTGACGAATGCTGAAGCCCTGATGGTCGAAGAGGTTTGCTCCAAGGTCGCGTCTAGTAGGTATAAGTTCGCCCGTAAGAAGGTTCGGCTTAGGCTCCAGACAGAAGGTGGGGGAGGAATTCTGGAAAATGTTCCGAGAAAGGAGGTATAAGAGATCTAAGGTGGGACGAAGGAAGCGGTAGATCAACGGGTCGGAGCCTTTAACGCGCAACGTCATTGAGCGTACATCTTGTTGGGTGAGAGAACTGCCAAGACAAAGTGATTCAAGAGCAAGACTGTGCGAGGAAAGCCGTGTGCAAGGCGGGAGCGAAGCAAAGAGGAGGATGCTGCATGTTCGGTCGAGGGTTGAGGGCGTGAGGGTTGGAGTGCACCGAGCGGTCACAACACTGCCGGCGTGACACTTTACCGGGTCAGATATCTGGCGTAGAGAGGCTGAGAGAGGGGGGGGAAAGTGATGGCGCAGTGTGCGGTTGTGACAGATGGGGGGAGGAAAGGGTGGCAAGAGGATGAGATCAGAAGGAAGTGATGTGCAGCAATACGCTGTCGTGGCGGCAAGTTGCAAAGCATGGGCGGAGGGTTTTGTGGCCAGTTGTGCCAGATCAGACTGAGCTACAGCTGCCACTCGGAAGAAGAAAAAAAGGGTCCGGGGTAGAGAGAAACAAGCGCAGCCAAATGCACACCCACACTTTAACATGTCATGGTGCCTCCATTGTTTTCTCATCTTATGGACACAAGCTATCGCTGCCCCGCTGGCTGCTTCGCTGGCGAGAAGACCACATTACAAGGCAAAGATTGCGCAAAGATCGTCTAGCGCGTTCGAAAGCTGTCTAGACCGGATCGTGTGCCCGAGATCATTTCGCTCGCTCGCTCAGTGAGCACAGACAGCCGATCCACCACTAGTCGGACGCTAGCCTTGTCTCAACTACATTCTCGTCGTCTCATAAGCACTCATTCTCTGGTCAAGGTATGGATCCTTAACTTTGTGCTCGTCTTCGCTCGAAAGTGCTCCCAACTCGGCGTCTGGGTTTAGGGCGTGAGCACCTAATTCCCACCTCACCAGCCGGCGGCCAATCTCGCGCACTCAACTCACGCAGATTCTACCTTTCCCTCGCATCCTCAAACCCCTCGTTTCATCAGCCTTACCGTATTCCCATGCCTTGCCTTGCCCTGCCTTGCCTTGCCTTGCATTCCATTCCATTCCAGAGACTGAGAGAGACGTGTTGCGATACTTCTTATCATCTTTCTAGGGGGCTAAACGCCGACGGTTCGCACCAAAGCAGCGGCTCAAGCTTTGACCGGTCAATTTGATTTCTTCGAGAACCGATGTGAGATTCGAATCTCACTCACAGTTCCTGTTACTGGATGAGTCAGGATGACACATCCTCGCGACTCTTGAAAGCAAGGCTCCACGCTAGAGGTTTGGGATCTTCTCATTCTGCATCGGCTTCTATCACCACTCTCATACCAATAGGCCTCTGACGGTGTCACTCCACTACATACCCACCCGCCACACCTAGCAAACTACACGGCCGATCTCGCTTCTGCTCGCGGTGTGACACCGCAGCGCAATTGATTCATCATGTCGCGCACCGCCCCTCGCATCAAGAATCGCGCCCCGGCGCCCATCCAGATCTCAGCCGAGCAACTCCTTCGCGAAGCTCAAGAGCGTCAAGAAGCTCCCGCTGCCGCCCCTGTCCAAAAGATTGAAGACTATGAGGAGCTCGAAGAGTATCGTGGCCGACGCCGCTCTGACTTTGAGGATAGGCTTCGACGCACCCGCACCAACATGTCAACCTGGATCAAGTATGCAGCGTGGGAAGCGAGTCAAGGCGAGATGGATCGCTGCCGATCCGTGTACGAACGAGCACTTGATGTCGACCCACACTACTTGCCAATATGGCTGAGGTATACCGAACAGGAGCTCAAGATGCGAAACGTCCAACACGCACGAAACCTCTACGACCGTGCAGTTAGCATCCTTCCACGCATCGATCAGCTCTGGTACAAGTATGTACACTTGGAAGAGCTGCTGGCTAACCTCGCAGGTACAAGGCAAGTCTTCGAGCGATGGATGGCATGGGAACCGGAAGAGAAAGCTTGGCATGCGTACATCAACCTTGAAGTCCGATACGGCGAAATGGACCGAGCAAGCGCAGTTTGGGAACGAGCGGTTACATGTCACCCAACACCGAAACAGTGGATTCGTTGGGCAAAGTTCGAAGAAGACCGTGGTGACCTCGAAAAAGCGCGGACAGTATTTCAAATGGCCCTCGACTACGTCGGCGAGGACGAAAATGCGATGGAAAAGGCACAGAGCCTGTTCACTGCGTTCGCAAAGATGGAGACCCGCTTAAAGGAATACGAGCGAGCAAGAGTCATCTACAAGTATGCATTGGAGCGTCTACCACGCTCAAAGTCAGAAGGTATCTATTCGAGCTACACTCGCTTCGAGAAGCAGTTCGGTACCATGAGCAGTGTCGAGGATACCGTGATAGGCAAACGACGCATTCAGTACGAAGAGGAACTCGCGGCAGCACAAAGCGGTGGCACAACAACAACAGACTATGACACATGGTTCGACTACTCTCGCCTCGAAGAAGACGCCTACCGCGCTCTTTCAGCCTCCGGTGGCTCGCAAGAGCAACTCGAGCAAGCGACAAAACGTGTCCGCGAAGTGTACGAACGAGCAATTGCCCAAGTCCCTGCCTCCACAGAAAAGCGAGATTGGAGAAGATACATCTTCCTCTGGCTCCGCTACGCTCTCTTCGAAGAGATTGAGGCACAGGACTACAGTCGAACAAGGGAGATCTACAAAGCAGCTATCGCCGTCGTCCCGCACAAACGTTTCACCTTCGCGAAACTCTGGATCCAATACGCCCGCTTTGAAGTGCGTCGTCTCGACTTGACCACAGCACGCAAGATCATGGGTACAGCAATTGGAATGGCGCCTAAGATGAAACTCTTCACCGCCTACATCGATCTCGAGCTATCTCTCAAAGAGTTTGACCGAGCACGAAAGATTTACGAGAAGGCACTTGAATGGGATCCCACCAACTCGCAGACATGGGTCAGGTTCGCGGAACTGGAGAAGAATCTCTTCGATACCGATCGAGCGAGAGCATTGTTCGAGCTTGGTGTTGGTCAGGCAGAAGCCGCGGAAGAGAGACTCAGTGGAGGATTGGATATGCCCGAGATCGTCTGGAAGGCATACATCGATTTCGAGTTCGAAGAGAGAGAGTGGGAACGGGCGGATACATTGTACGAGAGACTGTTGGAGAAGAGCGGACACGTCAAAGTTTGGATCTCGTATGCCTTGTCCAAGGTCAACCAGGCCACTGTGATTGAGGAGGATGAAGACGACGACGAGGTCGAAGAAGACGAAGACGAAGAAGCAGAGAAGTCCAAACCAGTACGCGAACTTACCGAAGAAGAGCAGCGGATTCGAGCCGAACGACGTGCAGCACTTGTCTCATCCGCGCGCAGCATCTTCCAGCGCGGTTACGACTCGCTCAAATCGCGCTCCCTCAAAGACGAACGCGTTGTCCTTCTCGAATCATGGAAGACATTCGAACGGCAGCACGGCACGCAACAGACACTGTCGGAGGTGGAAGGCAAATTTCCACGTGTCGTCAAGAAGAGACGCGAAGTGGCTGGTGGCGATGGCGAGATGGAAGAATATTACGATATGATCTTCCCGGACGATGAAGAGAAGGGTAAGGGTGCGTTCAAGTTGTTGCAAATGGCTCACGCTTGGAGGGCGGCACAAGCTGCTAAGCAGCAGCAGGAGAGACCGCAGCAGGGGGAACAGGATGCAGGGACGCAGAATGGTGGACCAGAAGAGGAGGAGAACCCGGAAAGCATGTCTATCGAGATGGACGATGACAGCGCCAATGAGCAAGAGAAAGATGCTAGCGGGCAAGAGGACGCCTAGCAAAGCAACGCCATCAATTCAGCATTCGTCGTCTTTCGATCTCATCATCTTACCCACACACAAAATGCAATGTACTTGTATGAGAAATCATCACACTCTTCCCACAGCCTCTGTCGTTGCAACCAAATGCCTGTTCGGTTGCATTACAAATAACGTCTACATCCATCAGAACCACACAGACAAGGAATCGCATCTTCGTCATCGGCCGAAGACTGGAACTTGTAGTCGTAAGTCAACTCCTCTCCTGCCTTGATGGGACTCTTGGCGAAGAGCACAATTCTCTTCTCTCCATTCACCGTCAGAATCTTAGCGTTGCAATTGGGCGTACAGCAATGATTCATCAACCTTGCAATGTTGCCCTTGTGCGTAGCATCAACCACCAAGTCATCATCGACACGGAACAGATAGGTTGAAAAGTTGCCTTGACGCTCGTACTGCTTTTCTCGATTGTCGGCGACTTGTTGTCGAACCATCTCACCGACGTACTCGATGACCATATCTCCGGCTGGAATGTATTCCATGGCGTACAGACCCCAGTCGTGGATGGGGGACTTGGCGAACTTGAGCTGCTTCTTTCGTGTGCGAAGCTGGTTGAACTTGAAGATGTCCGTGTCGGTGGCTGTTTCACGCTTGTGCTGCTCGATGCCGAGGACGAGACGTCGTGAGTCGGCTCGATTGTTTCGTGCAGACTGCAGCACATGAGCGTTGCTGCTGCTGTCGACTTCTTCGGTGGCCTTGTTGCGGTCAGGAAGATGCGCTGCTTTATGCTCGGGTGGAATGCGGTACATGCCTTCTGTCCTTGCTGAACCTGTTTGGTGCTTGGGTGGAGCTCCTGCTGCAATCGCAGCCTCCTCCGCCTCGGCTTCCAGCTCTGCCTCGTCAGGCCAGACGTCCTCTGTGATCGGTTCTCCGTTGTGCAGACGGCCAAGAGCCATGCGGAGATAGTAGAGGTCTTCGACATCTTCCACCAGCCCAGCATCGAAGGGATCCTCAGGAAGCGGTTTTGCCTTGATGGGCACTTTCGCTGGCTTGGTCTTGGCAGCTTTGATCGCTTTCGACGGAATTTCAGTCTCTGGCCAGGCGGTCTCTTCGCTGTCGTCGAGTTGCGCGTCCATGACAGCGTCGAGCTCGAGCTCGGCAAGCATGGGCGCTGTCTTTGCACTCTTCTTAGCCGCAGCGGTACCTTTTTTCTTGGTAGCTGCTTCGAGTTTGGCCTTGGTCTTCTTATTTGACTTGGCGCCGAGATCCTCATCTTGTTGCTCTACGGACGCTGGCTCCACCGAGGCGGATACGGATCTGGAGGTGTCATCTACCATTGTTGCACCATCTTCAGTCTCGGCCTCTTCGTCTGATGAGCTGAGTAGCCATGCTGCTGCTCCACGCCTCTTGGCCGCAGACTTGGACTTCGAGCGGCTGTCGTGACGCTTCGAGGCAGCCAGATCGCGACCATCGTCTTCACTTTCGTCATCAGTGCTGGCCATGTCTTTGACCCGCTGAGACTTGGACCTGCCGGTTGCATCTCGATTCCTCTTCGCTGCCGCCCTGTCAGGTTTCGTCTTTGAGCTCACATCGTCAGCGTCCGAGAACTTCTTCTTGGACTTGACAGAAGCCGTCTTGCGGAAAGATGGCAAGCGTGCGTCACCCTCCGCTCTCGATACTTTCGGTACATGGTCGACAGCTTTCGAGAGGACAGGTGGCTTCTTGACGACTGCTTTTGCCAGGATCTGACCACCTTCGTTGTCCGGTTTGAGGTACGCAGTCAAGTGCGGAGCGACGACTCTGTTCTTGACGTCACGTACGAAAACGTCGACCAGCTCTTTCTGCAGCATGCGGAACACGGCTTCTTTAAGGTCTACGGGGGCCCATTCCAACTTCGATTTCTCTTCCAACGTGAGCGGACGGAGACCGACATCCAAAGCCTTGCGAAGCGGTACGCCAGCGGGGCCGGCTGTACGAACAACGCCATGAGGAGGTGCCACGCCACTTGAGACAGGCTTCTGTTGCTCCGATGGATGTGGTGTTTTGGAAGGCGGAGAGCGTATTTCTACCTGCAAGGTGTAATTCGCAACCGAGATCGTCTCATTGAGGAATCTGCACGTTCTTGCATCCTGAGCTGTCTCGAAGGCAGCATACCATCCAGTGTCGCCCTCTCTGAGCCACCTTAGCTTTGGACCATTCATGTTGGCCTCGACCACCTCGGCGGCAATGTCACATGCCTTGGGCTTAGGAATGAAGGCATACGGAAGCTGAGATTTGCGAAGCGTTTCGATGATCTCCGCAGTTGGAATTTTCGGTCGCCTCTTCTTGGCCGGTTCATCTCTGGATGGCGATGAAGGACGAGCACTCCAGTCAGATGGTCGGCTGCTGTAGGGCCTGCTACGACTAGAGTCGTAATCGTTTGAGTCACGTCGATGATCGTAGGCGCTTGCTGAGTTCGACTTTCGTGTTTCGTCGGGTTCTGCACCGTATCGCGAATACCTCGATGCCGACGAGGATGATGTCTGGTCGTGGCGGTCGGTGCTGGTGCTGGTGCTGGTGCGAGCGGAGGGTGAGTGAGCGGAAAAGGGTGGTGATGGTGCAGGAACAAGTGATGACCGCGGCCCACGAGGGATGTTGGGAGGAGGCATGTGAGGTTTAGTCGCGCCTGGCGTGGCAGGGGCGGAGGATGCACTCACAGCTATTGGAGTAGCAGGTGGCACAGGTGGACGAGATTTGGCCTCGTCGGCAGCTATTTTCTCTTTGACCTTCTCAGCGAGAACCTCGCCCTCTCGATCAAGGAATGTGCTGACACGAGTCTGGCCCATCTGTCGACCGTTCAAGGAGGCCTGAGCTGCCTTTGCAGCCTTGGCGCCATGTTGCGGCGTCTGTCCTGAAGGCATATTCCCCAGGACCTTTCCTTGCTCGTCAAAGTCGTGAGCGAATGTCACCCGGAATATGCCTAGACTTTGGCCAATCCTGGGATGCATTTCGAGCTTCGAGTCTTCGATGCGGCCAAAGGGACGAATCTGCATCAGTACGTGGGCCGGCTGCATGAGAGCTGACAGGTTGGTCAAAACAAGATTGCGTGGTGCCGGAGGCGGCTTTTGGCCGACCGAGTCGGCGTCCCATACGAATTTGGCTCGATGAAGCTCGTCGCGGTAGTGTTGTGTCTTTTTGACAGAGGAGCGTGGGTCCTTGGTCTTAGCATCGACCACATCCTTCTCCACGGCTGACTTGAGGATGCTTTTGACCTCCTTTTTGTAGGGTGTTATGACTAAGCTGTTTTTGCCTCTGAGCTCGACAGGAAGCTCGTGCGGAAGCAGAACATGGTCGAAAGATCGCTTGGTGAGCTTGGATGCCGTGCTGGGCTGGCCGGATGCAGTTGGAATGGTGGATGAGGCAGCCATCTTAGTTGACGCATCGCTCGATGCGAGCTGTGATGATGTTGCGGATGCCCTGGTAGAAGGGGAACGCGATTCTAACCTGTCTTTGCTGCGCTCATGTGGGCGATCAGAAGGTGAAGGATCTGCTGCATGACCGTTAAGCCTCGATGGCCTGTGAGATTCCGCAACGCTGTCCTTGGCATGGCGGTAGCGAGAGTCGTCGGTGATGTCTGAGAGGGTCTTTGTGGAGTCGTGTTTGCCATCATGGCTGCGTACGCTTGTAGTAGTCGGTTGCTTGAGCTCGCCTTCCTCCTCTCCATCCCAGCGGTTTCTGGTGTCGATGATAGCACGGCGAGGTTCGCCATGCAACTGTTGAGTCGGCGCATCCGAAGCATCTTTGCGTTTGAGCAGCTTGTGGTCGTTCTTGACCCCGTTGACGTGCTCTGATCGACCTTCACGAACTAATCTCGACGATTGGGAGGATCGATGTGTTGCCGGCAAGCGCTCTCGGCTTCGACTACGACTGCGGCTGCGGCTACTAGCATGGCGTCTCGACTCTCTGCGATCATGCGGATTTTGATCTCTGCCGTGTTGACTCCTGTGCCTCGACCTGTCAGGCTCGCGGACTTTGTATGCGCTTGTGGGACGATCCGGACTTGGCTCGTTGCGCCATTCGCCATGCCGCCTATGTGGACTGTCATGATCCCATGAGCGCCTTACATCACGTTCTTCTTCATACCTCCTGCTGCTGCCATATCTTTTGTCCCAGCCGGGACTGCATCGGCCACGAGAATCAGCATCCCAGCCGTGGCTGGAATCCGGAGACCTATGAGGCCTGCTGCTCGTTGAGGGTTCGGGGGATCCATATGTAGATGTGCCGTGACGTTCGAATGCTCCGCTGTCTCTGCGACTGTATGCTTCTTCACGACGATCACGGGATGAGGATGAGTAAGCGGCAGAGCCCAAGTGACGAGAATGGTCAGGATGCTCTGGATACCTATGACTGCGCGAAGAATGATGGGAATGGTGGCGTCCATCGTCCTCATCGTCGTCATACCTGCGCTCAGGAGGTCGATGCCTTTCGCGGTCTAGCTTGGCATGACGATGTCCCTCATATGGCGACCTTGTCCTTCGATGCAAGTCTTGGCGACGAGGATCAGATCTAGATGATCTGGAGTGCGACGAAGCGTGCTCGAGATACCTGGAAGATGAAGCTGCGTCGTAGCTGCTTTCAGGCGCATAGGAAGGCATGTCGGCTCTGGCAGTGGATGCCGGCAGCGAGCCTGTCCGTAAGCAGAGATCGGACCTTGTGAGAGGATAGCCTCGTTACAAAGGAATGCCCTGCTGCATCCAAGTGAATATGACTACCTGCGCTCTGAACGTTGTTCTCGGGAGGGGGCGGGAGGTTGGGGGGGTGAAGTGCTTGTCTGACGCCGAGGACATTGACGGCTCAGCTTCGGCTGCTTGCGTTGTGTTGGTAATCAAACGTGTAACTGGACCTATGAAGGCAAGATGTGAGGCAGCGGGCGATGGAGAGATGATGATGATGATGAAAGGATTCCGAAGAGACGTGTGAGTGAATCCGCAACTGTGTCGGCAGCTCCGCACAAGCAAAAGTCAAGTCAAAGCTAGAGAGTAAGCAAAGTCACATCTGCCGCGCTCTGCCCCGCCTTGACTCTCCATCACAATCAAAAAAAGAAAAAAGAAAAAGGCAAGACCCTTGCCTTCGAGGAACGCGCTCAGCTATTGTGCCTGTCTGGCAAGAGTAGAATGGAGGGTCGCGCCTTGCTGACCGCGTGAGTAAGTTGTCGCCGATTTAATCCTCATCGGCAGCCCGATAGACTCTGTCGGAAAAATCGCTGTCAATGTTGGCCCTTGCGTGTTTCCAAGCTCCACTTTCAACATACACTCTCCGCTCCAGCAAACCATACGCATCAGCCGTACAGCTTTCAAGTGTCTCTCGATCCATCACCTGCTGCCGTCTGCCGCATCATTCTACACTGGCAGGCCCTTTCAACCGCCAAGGCAACCCCTCAAACCTCGCATAGCACTCAGAACCATCGGCCTGCCATGTTGGTCCTCGTGATTGGCGACCTGCACATTCCCTTCCGCGCACACGATCTACCCGCCAAGTTCAAGAAGCTTCTGGTACCAGGCAAGATTCAACAGATCATTTGCACTGGCAACGTCTGCAATACCGACTACCTCCACTATCTACGAACCATCGCAGGAGACGTCCACCTTGTCAAGGGCGACTACGATGATAACCCTCACTTCCCTTCCAGCTTGATCCTCAACCACCCGCCACTTCGCATTGGCGTACTGCACGGACACCAAGTCGTTCCTGCTGGTGACACACAATCTCTGGCCGCTGTCGCGAGGGCCATGGATGTCGATATTCTTCTGACGGGACATACACACCGATTTGAGGCATTCGAGCTGGAAGGTCGCTTCTTCGTCAACCCAGGTAGTGCTACAGGTGCATGGCATCCAACATGGCCACTCAGAGATCCCGCCTCTGTAGCTGCGCTAGCAGAGAAGGCGGCTGCGAAAGCAAAACAAGAGGCTGCTACAGCGGAAAAGAAGCAAGAAAAGAAGGCAGAAGACACAAAGGCAGAGAAGAACGCCAAGACAACCGACACAAAGAAAGCGGACAATGCTACCAAGGACAACTTATCCGACTCAAAGGACGCCAGCAAGGATCGCCAACAGAACAAGGCCGCGCAAGACGGTGGGGACGAGGAGGAAGCAAAGCAGGCTCCAGGGCCTGTGCCAAGTTTTGCGCGTAAGTCATTCATCACACATTTCCCTCCAATTCAGATTTAGGCAGATCCGACCTTACTGACTACCAGCATTCTCCGTTTGTATGATTACGCAGTGCTGGACATCCAAGGCGCTGTTGTTGTCACGTACGTCTACCAGCTCATCGACGGAGACGTCAAAGTTGAGAAGATCGAATACCGAAAGAACGTTGACAGCAACGCATTAGCACAACAGCGGGGTGCAGCTGGAGCCACTGCTACTGTTGGCGCTGCCGGTGCAGGCTACGGCCAGTATGGCGGTCGATAAAGCCCGCAGTCCTCCATGGCCCCCTTGACATTACCAACATACAGCAATGATACCATCTTTAGTTCATTCTGGTCTGGTCTACACAAATTTCGAACGGTCTCCGGTGTGGGATGACGACGTGCTTGAGAAAGCGAGAACCCAAGTTGTTGTTGCAATCGCTGCTACCGTACAGTTGTACACCGAGCCTGCGACACGCAAGCCAACGCAACACGCTCAGCTACCAGCCAGAGCCAGGATCGAGTCTAGAGACGAAACAAAAAGTTGAAGATGCGTCGGCAACTCAAGCAAAATGCACGTGTCACGGCCGAGACACCGAGGCACAGGAGGCTTACTTAAGCAAGAAGCACAATGAGACACATGATTGTTGTCATGGTGACAGCTCAGTGGCACTCAGTATCATAGCAACATAGGAGTACAAATGAAGTGACATGTCCCATCTTGGATAGGACTAGAGTGGCGAATGGAGTATATATATGTGTTTGTCATTTAGGTTCACACTATGAAAACTAAGCATTACATAGAACATATGGCTGTTGTAAAGGGAGTCTGATTGTGACCCCGATAACACCGTGTATTAATTGTTATCTTCAATTGATTAAGAGTCTGAAGAAGCTATCACCGAGCCAACTGAAACTCATTGACAACAATGGTAGAAGACACTGAAATAAGGATCAAAGGAAGCAGAAAAGGCAAGAACACCCAGGTTTGGGTAGACAACAATGCCACAAATGAGAATGAGCTGGAGGTCATCAACAATGAAGCCAACAAAGACACTGATTCTGACTCTGACTTCAATGATGGTGACAAGCAATATAACTTTTGCACCCTAGCAAAACTCCTTGAACCTGTGCCAAAGCTCATGTCATGCAGCTATTATAGCTGGAGCATGCATGTGAAATCTTTCCTCCGATCCATGCCCCATGTGATGAAACATCTCGAGGGAACATATGACAAGAAGCACCCAAAATGGAGCTGCTCCCTCAATGATGCTTTAATTAACACCCTGCATGGAACAATCAACACTACTGGAGAACACATTGTAAATTACCTCATTCTAGATGTAATCAAAGAGTACCTTACTTTCAATCAAGTATGGAGAAAGATCGAAAATGGTCTCATGAATGAAGCCACCAAGACATCTCACAGACTTGCACTCATCTCGCAGCTCAATGATACATAGATGTTTCACTCAGATGCCAGAAAGCTAATTCAAGAGATCCGGTCCATACAGACTGAAAGCAGCCTCCTCAGCAAACCATTTGCTGATGATACATTGTTCTTGGCTCTGCAGAAATGCACAATCTGGCATCCAGTGTATAAGGAGACAGTTGCTACCATCCATCAAATCGATTTCAACACCCTTGCCACTGCACTAAGCATCTGGCAGACTGCTGTTGAGAGCATCCCCACACAAAAGATTGACCCCTGACAAGCCAGCGCTAGAACCACTGGCAACGATGATCAAAATGAATGGACCAGAGAGACTGAAGCTGAAGCCAACAACAGCCATGTGAGCTCGAGGAACGCAGGCAGACCATGCCAAATCCAATGCTGGATCTGCAAGCAACCCAGGCATGGTATTAGTCAATGTGATGCCTTGGTCACCATCCCCCAAAACTCCCACCTTGCTAAACCTAAATAGGAAGTGTGGTGCTCCCTCACCCTCCCATTGAAGTGGCAAGACCCCCTGAACACAAAAGAGACAGCTCATTGGATCTTGGACTTGGGGGTGAGTTATCATATGGTGAATGACTATAGCATGCTCATCCATCCGAGAACTTGCTGAAAGCAGATAATTACTGCCAGAAGCAAGATCTTGGAAGTGGCAGCTATAGGAGATGCAAGCATATCAACAGATTATGGGGAAATCTCCCTACAAAATGTATTATATGTGAAGCACCTTAATGTTAACCTTCTGTCAATGAATTCATTAATGGATGAAGGAGCACGAGTGATATTGGACACAACTGGCAGTCAAATTTTTCTAACAAATGGCATGACACTTAAGATTGCAAAGAATTGCAAGCAAGGACTTTTAGAGTTCCAAGGCGACACATGGCAAGAAGGCATGATGGCCACATCAACACCATTGTTTAAAGGCATTGATGAGGAGTTCAAGCATATTGAGAATGAGCTGAAAGTTTCGAAGCAACAACTATGGCATGAGCATCTCAGACACCCAGGGAGGGATAAAGCTAAGGTGATCATGAGCAAGTTAAAAGATAAGCATACCATGGAATTGGATCCAAACACCACTCTGACATGTGAGCAGTGCATACGATCCAAGAGCACAAGTGCTTGAATGGGGCAAGGTAGTGGCGAAAGAGCCATAGGGCCCCTGGATCTTATCCATGTCGATCTAATAATAGATTCATCCCATGTGATGGAGTACACATGCATGTTAGTGCTGGTCAATGATCATAGCAAGTATGTGTATGCACAGCCATTGACACAAAAGAGTCATGCATTTATGCAACTCAAAAGGATTGTTTCATTCCTGGAAACACAGATGGATCAGAAGCTAAAAGCAATCCAATCCGATAAAGGAACCAAATGGAGAAGCAATGATGCATTGGAATGGTTGCTAGAAAGGGGCATAGAGTGGCAAACCACTGTAGGATACAGCAGTAAACAAAATGGATGGGTAGAGAGAATGAACAGGACCCTTGGAGAGAAGACAAGGACATTGCTAATGCAGAGGAGACTACTGAAGAAGTTCTGGCCATATGCAATCAGAGCTGCAGCATTTAAAATAAACCTCACTCTGAGCAATGATAATGAATTCCCTTACCAAGCCATGTTTGGCAAGTTGCCAGAATGAGCTTTAAGACTTCTATGAGTGTTTGGTTGTCTGGCATGGGTAAACATACCCAAAGTCAAATGGGACAACAAGAAACTGGACCAGCGAGCTGTCATGGGCCTGGATGCTCAAGAAGCAGGAGGGTCACTGGTTCATATGGAAGGAGCACAGGTATCGAAGATCTAGTCGATACCATTAGAGAGCATGGTCGTAGTGCAGTCTCCATGGAGACCATGGACTCCTACAGACTCACATGCAAAGGAGGACTGAGCCCAGATGTGAGGAGGGCCAGGCACAGCCACGAAGAGGACCAAGCTCAAGGAGCAGGCACAGCCACGAAGAGGACCAAGCTCAAGGAGCATGCAGATGGTTACCACTCAGGGGCTCGAGAGACAAGAGTCAAAGGAACTGTCACTGGTCAAAGGAGGAGGAGCAGTGTCGAAGGAGTCGACATCACTCAGGAGGCACAAGGGTGCCAAACAAGCAGGGTAGCAAGGAGGAGGAGCAGTGTCGAAGGAGTTGACACAGTTCAAGAGGCACAGGGGTACCAAGCAGGCAGGAGAGGCCCCTGAACAGTACTCGATGAAGAAGGTACTCTCTGGAGTAGAGAGCAGGAGCAGCATCGCTGGCGATGCTGTGAAGAGGTATATAACCATGCTTTCTCATCATCAAAGGTCGAGTGGATCCTCATCCACTCTACTCACCATATAACTAGTTATCACTTCAGCATAAGTATACATTAGTTTCAGTCAGCAAGCAGCAATCTATCAAGGTTGCTCCTCATCATAGTGTGTGTGTTGTATCACCACTACCTGACATCCGAAGGCGCCCATAGCAGGTTAGCGGTCCGGATATAGATAGAACTGAAGGCAGTAGTCCACTGCGGTCTGGGGATCACTTCAAGCATCAAGTCAACACACTGGACACTCATGTTGATGCCACCAACCTCATCACCAACACCACCAACCTCATTATCATCGACATTCACCAACCTTATCACCAAACACCATCAACCTCATCATCAACAACACTCACACCAGACCTTGGTGTCAACATAACCTATGTATTGATATTGATCATGCCGAGCTACCCCTGAATGGAGTGTCCACAGAGGTCAGCCAAAACCTATGATAGTATATACAACAAATGCCACCTGCTGTCACTGTGCAACTTGATAGTCACCGATACTGAGGCAATAGCTGTCGCACAGTTTGATAGTCACTGAGTATCTCGACAGACCGACCTGGGTTTCAGGCGCGAGACCCCTGACATGAGCCATCACATCCATTTTCTTGGGATACAGTCTAGAGAGAAAGGGCTGGCTATTCTACAGTCCAGACTATAATCCGAACATGTTCTGGAGCAATTCAGCAAAATTCATGGAATCAAAGTGCTGGTCAGACAGAACAGAGTGGCAACTGGTTGACACAAAGGCACCTCCAGTGATGATGACAGAAGAGAATTTTGAAGATCTAGGATATAACAAAGAAAATATATTCAATGAAACAGATGAAGGGCCACTACAAGAATACATGGATATGGAGACAGATTCGGAAGAAAGGTTAAGCAGAGGAATGGTGGAGGTGATGGAACAAGGATCAATCACCAAAGCCCAGATTGACAGTAAATCCTTTGGACTCGTAGCGACGCGACCAGAATGGAGAAAGAACCTGGACCCAACTATACATGAAGCAATGAATGGAGAAGACAGAAAGCACTGGGAGGAAGCCATGCGAAAGGAGCTGGATGGATTAGAAGCAATGGGCACATGGGAGATTGCTGACCTCCCAAAGGGTGCAAACACCATCGACATGTGTTGGGTACTCAAGATCAAAACTGATGCGAACCTCGTGCTGACAAAGTTCAAAGCCTGGCTTGTGGCACAAGGTTTCACCCAATGTGAGGGCATTGACTACACAGAGGTCTTCACACCAGTAGCACCCATCCAATCCATTCGAGGGGTGATCGCCATTGCAGCAATATGAGACTGGGAAATAGACTCTATTGACATAAAACAAGTGTACCTGAACTCTACTATACACCATGATGTATATCTAAAGCCCCCAGTAGGAATCAAAGTACCACCCAGAAAAGTGTTGAAGGTAGTGAAAGGACTGTACAGTCTGAAGCAATCAGGCCAAGAATGGAACATTGAGTTGGACTCACATCTCTGGATGATCAGTTTTCATTGCAAGCTGAGTGCACCATGCCTATACTCAAGAGGGACAGGTGACAAGATCATGATCATTACAGCATACATGGATGACATGCTGATAACATCACCCAGTCATGATGAAGTAGACCACACTAAGCGAGAGATCATGGACAAATGGGAGATGCAAGACAATGGAAGAATCAAAGAATTTCTGGGTATCAAGATCACATGTGATAGAAGACAGAGGAAGATATCTCTGGGTCTAATGGCATACATCAAAGAAATGGTGAACAAATGGTTAGGAGGAGCAAATGAGAAATCTTGGGTACCTATGCTGAGCATAGTGAACACTGCTGGAGGTGAGAGATGTAATCCTCAGCAAGCAAAGAAGTATCAAGAGTTGGTCAGCCAACTATTATGGGTCTCCAACACAGCCCAACCAGATATTGCCTTTGCTGTTGGTGTATTATCACAATACATGTTGATCCCAATTGACAGTGCATGGAAGGCAGCCATTCACATGGTAAAGTACCTGAACCAGATGAATGGATATCAGTTACACTTAGGAGGGGAGGCAAATGAGCACTCGGATACACCAGTAACAACATATACCAATGCAAACTGGGCATCTGACCCCATAAATGGATGAAGGAGCACCTCAGGGTCAATAACATATGTGTATGGATGTCCAGTGAGTTGGAAGTCTCACATTCAAAAATGTGTAGCATTGTCAGCAGTCAAAGCAGAGTTTGTCACCACTTCCAAAGCAGTGCAAGAAGCATTGTTCTTCTCATATTTGCTCCGGGATTTGGAGATCACAGATGTTCAGCCTATACTATACACTGATAGCCAGGGGTGCATGCAGGTGAGTAAAGATCCAGCCAAACATTGGAAGTTAAAGCACATTGACACATGGTATCACTTCATCCACAATCACATGCAAGAGGGTGATGTGGCAATCAAACATGTTGGGACAGCAAACAATGTTGCAGATGTCTTGACAAAACCTTTACAGGGTCTCAACACCTCACAATTGGCTAGGATGATAGGACTGGAGATCCCACCGAAGGGGGGAGTTGAAGATGCATCAGCAACTCAAGCAAAATGCACATGTCATGGCCAAGACACTGAGGCACAGGAGGCTTACTTAAGTGAGAAGCACAATGAGACACATGATTGTTGTCATGGTGACAGCTCAGTGGCACTCAGTATCATAGCAACATAGGAGTACAAATGAAGTGACATGTCCCATCTTGGATAGGACTAGAGTGGCAAATGGAGTATATATATGTGTTTGTCATTTAGGTTCACACTATGAAAACTAAGCATTACATAGAACATATGGCTGTTGTAAAGGGAGTCTGATTGTGACCCTGATAACGCCGTGTATTAATTGTTATCTTCAATTCAAAAGGACGCGAAGAAAGCCGATAGGAACGTAGGATTAAATTTTCACAAGATCGCTAATGCGCCTTTTTTCCTTCTCAGCTCCGCCGTTTCCCTTAATTCCGTGTGTCATGCAGCATTGCCAAGGTATACAGTAGCAGCTTGGGGAAGGATCCAAGGCAGCTTTCTTTCGCCGTCACAGAACATGGCAGGAAGGAACAGGTCTGCTTCAGCCCCATCAGAAAGGATCGTCGATTGAGACTCAGCCATGTTCCTATGCCCCGATCACGTTTCCAGTGCAACAGCAGTGCCGTTCCAGTCTAGTATGTGTGCGCTCTAAGCGACAAGTGCACGCAGACTCCCACCCGGCGACTTTCTCCAGCTTGCATATTGGCGGGAAACAGTTAGGCTCCGATTCAGGTCGGTCTTGCCTTCTTTGTTTGTCCTCTCCGTTTGCTTGCAGCACGGGGTAAACAATGACGGCAATGTCTGACTTGACTCCCGATACCTCGACATGGCAGACTTGCACCTCGATGCCATCGCCTTGCGGTGTTCACTCAAATGCCCTCGAGCCACATATGAAGGTGGACTGTCAGACCTCGAGACTATCAGACCTCGAGACTAAGAATGGACCCCCCCCCCCCCATGTATCCATCTGCTTCCGACGATGCGCTTCTTCCCATGTACGTCTTCGATGAAGCCCAAGACCACCAACCGAACGCTGTTCTATGGTGCTAAGCGAGCTCGTTGTGATGGCTGAAGGTGTCTGAAAGAGTCGATTTTTGCACTGCGACTCAATGGTGCACATGTCATTGCTATTCGAGAATGCGAGTCCGGTCTTGGATCTGGTCTGCTCTTCTGAAAGCTCGGATACGCTGTCCTTCGACCCCCTCTTCGCTGGCGAGGAGACTTGGACAGCATTCGAGCCGCACTCAGCCTTGAGAGCTGGCACTCCCTAGCAACACCTTGCCCGTCATGCGAGGACATGCTGCAAAGGACGCATATAAACAAGACGAAATCCGGCCTTGACACTTTCTAAATTGCCCACGTTCCACCCTCCTCGGCCAAGAATATCCCCCATCTTCATCTTTAACCCTCGCTATCCTCTCCTTCTTCCTACATAGCGAGACGATCGAGTCTTGATCAAGATGAGGAACGTTTTCGCTACGCTTGCCTTTCTGTCCGGCCTCGCCGTGGCTGTGGCCTTCCTTGTCAACTGGACTGCCGCTTATGACAGGAGGGTGCCCGGCTTCTTGCAGAGGCGAGCTGTCAACTCGACCGAGCTCGATGCCTGCAAGGCAATCGGCAGCGCATTCACTACCTTTCTAACCTCAATCGCCTTTTGCAGCTCAAGAAGCGCTTCGATCCTCAAGGCGTCATGGACTTGACTACGTACTTCCCCTTCCAAAGGACTCACTACCTACTAGAATCTCTATCCAAATCTTTCTCACCTTTTTTTTATATGGATCGTATATGGAATCCTATCTTATCTGACTTGCCTCTGTTCAGTAGCTTGTGGCGTGTGGCGTTGAGCAAATTTGTGACCTGCGAGGTAAACGATCTGTCCGACACACTGCGTTATTGTGGGACACAAGAATTTGAACCTGATCATGACTCGGCGCATGCTGCAGTAAACACGAACTCAAAGAGAGTTGGTCGACGCTGGTCAGCGGAAATGATGCGAAATTTCGTCCGTAGACGCAGGCAAACCCACTCCAAAGAGCCGCTCACCTTGGCTCTGATCCCCTATGACACACCTCCAGTCAACACCCATCGCCAGCAAAATCGAGTACACACCTCGTTCTTCTATCCTCCGGGCAATACAGTGCTTGACATGAACAAAGAGAGCGTCTTCGCCGCTCGTCTCAAATGGCTGAACATGAACAATCTTCCCCCGAGAAGGTTCGATTGACGCCAGAAAGGTGCCCTCTACGTGCCAAGTCGCAAAATTCCATTCGTTACTCCGCTGGAAAGCATCAAGGAAAGCGGGCTCGAGCCAGTTGTTCGTATGACAACGCACCAGTTCAAGAGCACAGAAAGGACGTACAAGCCGCGTGAGGTCTATCCGTTGGAAGGTACACACTACTATCAATTCTGGGAACTTCCGTTGAATGCAGATACGCTAATAACAGTCACGGCTTTTCATTATGGGGTAGGTCAATTGGCGGCAAGCGACGTCGATGAGGTAGAACTTCATTTGCAGAGGAAGCAAGCGGCAGTCGATTTGCTTCCTTCGGAGGAGGTACTCGAGCGTGTTGTTGGCGAAAAGATGAAGCGACAGAAGATGCCAAGGACTGTATAAAGAGGACGTGAGGCGTAAGGGATCAGAGCCACGCCACAATCTTCACTCATTCTCACATCGTCGAGCATTGTTCTGCTTTAGGCTATTTGCTATCATGTTCGGTGACCTGCGATGGCGCTTCAAAGCCCTCGCTCTTTTCATTGGGCTACGCACCGCCTTCGTCTGGTCACAGCCTACCGGGGGCCAGGGTGCCTGGCAGGCAGCATCGCCAAGCATCGACTCGAACCTAGAGCCATCGAATGTTGACAACACAGCTGGACCATCTGATCCGATGATTCACGTCGTATATCCTCAGCATTACCAATCATCTCCAAGTGACGAAGTGCGTGGGCAGTGGAGTCATCGGCAACACTTGCAGCCGGCGGCTCGCCCAGATTCACCCACGATCTCTTCCTTGTTGGACTTTGACTTCGGACCTTATCTGTCAAAGTGGTTCGAAGACGAAGCCGACAAGCCGAATACAGTCCGGTCCGGCGAGCCCAGTCATCAAGCTGTAGAGCAGAGGCAGCGCGTAACGTCAATTCCCACCCATGAACAATTTGGTTCGTCGCTAGCTCCTCACACTGCTCGTATCGAAAGCTATCACCCCTTCGATTATCAGCATGTCGATCCCTTCGCACACCTCCCGACCCCGCGTCAGCAGATGCATTCCAACTTTGGGCAGGCTGGTCAACCAGAAATGGGTTTCGAGCAAAGCGGACCCAGCAATTCAGGAAACCTGCTCTCGCATCCATTCTCACACGCTCAAGATCATTTTCCCCTTGCAAGAGATCTTATGTCCTCTCGCTCTACGAGCAAAGATCATGCTTCTCACAGCACTGTCGACACAGCGAACCGGCTCAAAGGTCTTCGCGTTTCAAGACCTCCTTGGAAGGGTGTAAGAGCGACAAGTCCGAACAAGGTGTGGACAAAGGAAGAGCTCGACAAATACGTCAACAACTACGTCCGACCGAGGTTTGCTGAGCCTGAGGCTCTCAAACGACTCCCATGGTCAGTGCCAACTTCCAGAACAGCCGGGGAAGAGAGGCTTACAAGAACCCGTGATAAGTTACATTATCTCAGCACCGGCCACGGAATTCGAGAGATGATCAACAATGAAATCTTTGGTGGCAGGCTCAAGTGGGTAGCCGAACAGCTGCCCATGGAAAAAAATCCGCGACAGAGTATTATAGGCTCATCCGCTGTTCCCAGCCGAGTGCTTCCTTTTATCAAAGTTCCAGGGTTTTATGGGGTGAATTCAGAGCCTTTGGACGTGCGTATGGTCATCCTTGACAGCTTTTCACCGAGAGATGGTCGGAATAACGGGATCGCGAGAAGGGCGAGGTATGCATTTTGGGCTTTCCCGAATAAGAGAGCAGAAAAAGGCTTCAGCACGTTCGTCAAGCATCATGGTGTGGGTCATCTCGAGGAGGCAGATTTCGACCACGTCAATAGTTTTTTGTTGGAAAAGATGAATAGTGTCTCCAAGAAGGCGATAGGCGACGCTGTCCACGTTCACCCCTGAAGACAGGCGATCTTTCGTTGTTGCGACGTGAGCCCCCACCTTGCACTGTATCGACTTGGTTAGACAATAATAAACGTCCCACCGATGCTTTCATGTTTGTGAAATTGAGATGCAGTTCATTCCGCTGATAGGGTATTAGTGTTGAAAGTAGACATTCCAACATGGTGATGTAAGGAGACATAAGGCGATATGAGAGAGATCGGGCGAAGCAGATCTGATCGGAGATTAGACAGAGACGATCACGCCAGGGATCGGATGCAACCTGGTCCCGCTCGTTGTCAGACATCGTCATTAAGTAGATAGCACCCACACTCGGTATCAGCCTCAGAGATGTATTTATACTTAGCTCGAGAACAATAGGTTCTCGCCATGTTCATTTAGTCAATTGAGAATACATGTTTCTGTCTAAACCAGCAGTGACATCGTACTTAGACTCTCCCTGATCGCCAGTATCGGGACCCAAATGTCTTCACTTTTCAACAATTAGGTGTGGGAGGCCTGTGCAACCGAAGCAACGTTGTCGATTTCAGCTTTGCAACGCCTTCGTTTGGTTCCCACTTACACGGAGCGTTTGTCTAGCTCCTCCCTGGTCTCTGTTAGAGGCTCTGAAGCACGAATCCGAGGAGGCTGCCCAACTCGCCCACGCCTGAAATGATGGAGGGTTTGGTGAACGGCTTGGCGACTAAAATGTGCCGAGGAAACAACGAGGTCGCAAATTGGCCTTGCACTCGCTACGAAGTGTTTGAGGCTGTGTGGGTATGACCATGCTTGCTCTGGCCTACAAATAGGGTGCGTCGGCATCCCAGGCAGCATACAGAGCTCACAGCACATTCCTTTCCTTCCCATCCAGCCTCTTCCATTCCTTTTGCAATCATGCGGAATCCACTGTCCTTACACTCGGGTTTGGGTTCTCTCCTCTTCCTCAGCCTTGTTTCTGTTGCACTATCACTACCTACCGGTCCCAATTATGGATGGTCGCCGTACGGCTCTCAGAACCACGGCTTCCAGAACCATGACTTCCAGAACCATGGCTTCCAGAACCATGACTTCCAGAACCACGGCTTCCAGAACCATGACTTCCAGAACCATGACTTCCAGAACCATGGCTTCCAGAACCATGGCTTCCAGAACCATGACTTCCAGAACCATGACTTCCAGAACCACAACCTCTACCAATGGCCACCATCTAACCTCCAGAGTGTCGTAACTCAACAAGGTCCGAATGTCCCTCAACATGGGTTGCCTCAACAGCATTTGTCGTCCTTCGGGAACGCCCCACAACCTGCGCAAATTCCTCCAAAATTCAGTTCAACATCTCGCATTCTTCCTGACGAAGAATGGGACCGTTTTTTCTTGGATTCTGCAAGGCGAGACCTTGGTCGAGGAAAATCGGCAATCCCTCCATCTCTTCCATCATCTCATGCTGGTTCGTACCCTTCATCTTCCGAAGCGCGTGGATTCGGCCGAGTCTCCAACGAGGGAGCTTCGAGCTCGGGCAGAGCATACTCCATTAATCGTCATCATCCTATCGAGGACGCTGGCGTCTTCAACCGAATCAACCAAGAAAAATTCGAGGGAAAGCTAAAAAAAGTTAATTATATTGCTTTGGATAAGGGTACTCAGGATGGCATCAAGAGACCACTACGCAGTTTTCCTGGGAACGTATACGAAATCATTGAACCTGGGCAACACGAATTGCAGCATAAAGGAGTTGCTATTAATAGGGTCTGGATGACCAAGACCAAAGGTAACGCGAAGTGGAAAATAAAACATCCGGGAGTTTTTGCGGAAATCGACCCGGCTGGTATGACGTTCTTCAACTTCTGGGGCACTCCTGGAATTTTAAAGCGAGGCTCTGGAATGGACATCTTTAACTACGGCATGGGCTATTTAGATCCCAACCTAGACAAAGGATGGAGCAATCAACTAATGGTGAAGTTGACCAACGGAGTCCGAACTGCTGCGGACTTTCACTAGGAGTGCAACAGCAGATATCCTGGGAATGCTCAAGCAGTATTCTTCCTATCCAAGCTTTCATATGCTCGTTCAACGGTCGTTTGGGACCGGACTATCTCTTTAGGGCCGATAGCTGCCTCTCTCTCCCTTTCTCTCTCTCTCTCTCTCTCTCTCCCTTTCTCTCTCTCTCTCTCTCTCTCTCTCTCTCTCTCTCTCTCTCTTAAAACGACAAACTATCATAGGCAGGTCCTCGTCTTGACAAATAAGGCGACTGACACTTGCTACGTTGTTCCGCTTTCTTCAATCGTAGCCAACACTTCCATTCATAAGATTATTGTCCTTCTCTTCACATCCACCACATCGTTACATTCTTTGAATCGCAATTTCCACACTCATTTCCTCAGAAGTGACGTATCATGATCGAGATCAAAAGAGTGTAACAACGAGCTACGGGCTGAGACGGAAGCCGGCATCTTCTCTTCCGGCGTCTCAAGAGTTCATGTGTCTTGTTGCTCTAATACTCTCTTTGTCGATAGCTTTCGCACTTTGCACCACAGCACTTTCGTACTTCCATGTCTGGGTGTCTAAATGCACCAGATCAATCTCGTGTACGGGATCGGGCAACTCGACGCCGACTACGTACCTGATGTGCAAAAACACCTGGAACGGCTTACTCAACATTTTCCGACCAATCTGTATTCTTCGTACTATGAGCTGGCCAAGACAGCCCATTAGGCAGCCATTGAAGGCTATCATGAACTCTTACTCGTTATTGTTCTGTTATTGTTCTGTCTCGCATGTGATATGATCGGGCAGCGAAGGCCTTAGTGAGAAAACCCGGAAGCGACATCAGTCGACGACGGTCGGTGACGACAACTGGCGACGTTTGGAAAGTTTCAGCGGCTAAAGTGGAAATGGACGACAAATGTCCGGAAAAGTGAACAACAAGCCGATGCCGAAGTGGGCTTCATATAGCGCACTAGGTTACCGCAACCTGGGCGGGTCAGCGGGTAAAGGTGGTGAGAGGAATCGATAGCATTATAACTATTGTCGCTGAACGTGGAAAACAGAAGACAATGCTCATCTCTGCCATGTGGCTTTGTCGAGGCCATTCGATCGATCGTGCCTTCCATAAGTGATCGAGTTCTGCATACACCCACAAAATCAACTGTCACAATGTCCTTAATTCGAGAGAGATCAAGTGAGGGCTTGTGAGCTCATTTTGCTGGTTGGATGAGTGTCTGTGTGTTTGACAAGATTGTCGAGAAGCAGAGAAAGAGATGAGTGATAGGTATCAGCAAAGTGAACAGAACCTAGTGACGCCTGAACCTCCAGTATTGACTTACGATGTTATCACCTTTCAACAGAATACGTCCGAGCTCTACATGCTTGTTGTCCTTCTTCGTCCAGACCTCTTCTGCATCTGCCAGTGTCACGTTCATGAACTCGTCGAAGCCCTGCAAACACCAAGGAGAGAAGCAGATGGTCAGAGTCTTATCCAGAGTATTTATACGATCGATACACGCTCGGCAAGGTACTTACGATGATCTTGCCCTCGATGCGGAAGTCGATATTGTCGTAGAGCCATAGTGACACTCTCGTTTGCTGTTGTAAGTGACGGAAGATGACATTGATCGGCTGCACCGATACTTTGCTCCGTCCCGACATTGTGTCCTAGCTTCTATGGTCGAATGCGCTGAGATGTGTATGAATTCCCTGTGTGCTGCTGTGGTCTCCGTTGCCTATTGGATGATGCGAAGTTGGTGATCCTGCGTAGGCTTTGATGTGGATGTTGAGTGGCAGCCGGGCTCAAGTTGGTGGCTGGCCGTATGCCTGGAGAGGTCGTGCGAGTCGACAGTATTCTTTCGTTCTCGTGTCTCGGGTGATGAGCTCTGAGGAGGCGGAAGTGCAGAGCTTGGTGAGATGGTGCAGCAAGGGCTGATGGTGTGGAAAAGAATGACATCCAGCTCGAATCATGAATCTTCAAAAGTGTTGTAGGAGCGCGAAACCTTCCATGACCCGATGGAGTTGGTGTGTTACGTTATTAAATCGGGCTTGAATCGGGCCAACGTCCAACCGCGATCTGGCAGACGGATTTTAGCTCCACACACGCACATCCCTGCAAGCGCTCGCTGTGCATGGCAACGGCAACTTGAATCCGTGCTTCCAAGGTCGACAAGCCTTCCAACACCTCGACATCATTTCATTCTTCTCAGGCCAGCATTCTGAACTCCAGCTCCCTCCTCGCCTCCTAATAACCTCACAAGTCATCTGTTCTTACCCCTTCTCGCCAAACCTTCAAATCTCTTACCTGCTTTAGAACGAAAGACCTCTCTGTCGATCCACGACTACTATCAATAGCGACCTTAACTAGCACCCTCAGCAGTTACGGCGCGGACAGGCTCGAGATCCGGGCCTCCAGCACGGCAAGCTTCCCTGAAGGCGCGACCAACAACATCGTCGAGTCTCGCAACTAGTCCTTCGACTTTCAGCTCCTCTGATTAAGGCAGCCCTGACACTCAGCGAGCTTGACGCAACGTCGCAGATTCCATCGAAAACTATCAAGAGGGCGGTCAAGGGCTTAAACCTACGTACCAGCATTACCCAACCATACTTCCAAGATGGGTGTCACATTTTCATCGATGTTCTCCAAGCTGGCGTTCTGGAACAAAAATGAGGAAGTTAGAATATTGATGCTTGGTCTCGACAGTGCGGGTAAGACCACCATCTTGTATCGACTGCAGATAGGAGAGGTTGTATCCACAATCCCAACTATCGGCTTCAATGTCGAGACAGTGACATATAAGAACATCAAGTTCCAAGTATGGGATCTTGGTGGACAAACGTCGATCCGGTAAGTTCTCACACCTTCTTTCGTCCAGACGGTCGGAACTGGCAAGTTGGACTGACCAAGCTTGCTCTTTATTTCTCCTGCCTCTGCAACAGACCCTATTGGAGGTGCTACTACGCCAACACAGCAGCCATAATTTATGTCATCGATGCATCAGATACAGAACGCCTCGACACAGCAAAAGCGGAACTGCTAGCAATGTTGTCAGAAGAAGAGCTCAAAGACTCGAAGCTTCTCGTCTTCGCCAACAAGCAAGACTTGCCAGGTGCATTGAATGAAGGACAAGTAAGCGAGAAGCTCGGCTTGAGCGAGTTGAAAGATTGTCAATGGTCGATATACAAATGCTGTGCTACAAAAGGCGAAGGGTTGGAAGACGGCCTGGACTGGTAAGTGTTTTCACAGACCTTCATTGGCGCCGCAGCCACACAAGTGAACTGAGACTGACGAATCGCTTTCTTTTCCACATCATACAGGCTTGTCAACACCCTTCAAGCAAAGTAATGACCGATACCCTGCTGCAAAAGTTTTCTGTGCCTGTCTAATCTTCACTATTACACACACAAATACATCACAACAGCGTGTTACCCCCATGTCTGCTTGGTCTTCTTCGTCTTCTGGACCTTCAGGCTGAGGCACGACCTGCGTTGGCTTCGAGCACCGCGCTTGTGTTCCTAACCGACGAGTCTGAGAGCGTGACCAGTTGATGCTTTTGGCGCAGACACGTAGATCCACAACTGAGACACTTGCATCTGCGCGTTTACGCTCCCGGACCAACCTTTTTTCTTTGTTCGAAATTTGATTTGCATCATCATCCTTCCAACAACCTTTCGCACATCGACGCTGACCGTCACACCACTACACAATGCAGTCAACGTCAGCAGCGATTGCGGTAGCAGCCATGTCAGGCGCTGACCTGGGCGCCAAAGCCAACGACTCCAAAGGACCCAATGCGGCTGGAAAGAACAACTCCACATCGGGTGCATTAAGCAGCAACGGCTTCGACCCAAACGAGGCCAAGTCATGGATGCAGAAGCGATGGAAGGACATCCAATCGAGCAGCGCTGACAAGAGGCTGTCTGAGGCACGTAAGTTCGCCAGTAGAGATCGAGTGTAGCAGGGACAAGGAGAGTAAGCTGATATTCAAGCTTTGCTGTCTTTTCGGTGTCTTGCAGAGAGGCCAGAGACATATAAACCCGCACCGGGCACTGTTGGCTCCGCGTGGGGTTCTAACAAGAGTGAGTTCAGGCAAAGATCAGTCGACAGCTGTGTCGGTAGCGCAACACTCGGGCCAGTTGCTGACATCAAACACCTTTGACTTCTGATCGGGGAACCAACAGAGACGATCAACGAGAGATTCACCAGCGACCTACTCAAAGCTTCCACAGTGACAGGAAGCGTAAGCCGCTAGATATACATAAAGGACTACCACGCAAGCGCATGATGACGAATCTTGGATCGCAGGTCTGCCAGCATGAAAGTCCGGAAGCGAAGCGAGGTCCCGCTCTTGGTCCGGAATGTACACAGACTGTTCACTGGCAGAAGCGATTTGGTTGTTAGACCGCCCCACGCTTGCACGCCAAAATTGCGAAGCTCACGGCAGTATCACACGAAAAGAGCTGGACCAGAACTTCTGGCGGTGAAGGCTTGAGACCTGAAGATGTTTCTCGTTGGAAAGAGAGTCAACCGCAAAGGTGGTGTTCGAGTTGATGCGAAACAGTAGGTAAGAAGCGCAAGCATGTCGTCATCCAAGGGTTGCGGTACGCGAAGGCGTGGTGAAGCCGAGCTCGAAGAACCCCGCCATTGGAGAAAGCTAAGATCCAACCGACACACTAACCTTTTCTCTCAGAAAAGCTCGAAACTGCACGCCAGAGTCTGCAGCCTAGCACTTTCCAGCACAGCAACAGCTTTTCACCTCGAGATAAATCCGGAAAACAAAAGAGGCACATTAGGCGTCAACTCCTCAACGCTTTGTCCCTGGACGAGTGGTAACGCCGACTATACTCAAAGCTCGCCTCAAGCTCAGATTGGCAGCGAATGGTCATTGAGGGAGTCTGAAGCTGGCTGAAGGGGAGAAGATAGTCGAAGCCCACACGGGCCTGAGAGCTTTTCTGAGTCGGGAAGGGTCGTTGCCAAGCCCGAGACTCGCCGGATCGATCGGGCCATTGCCAAGCCCGACTCGCCGGGTCGATCGGGTCTTTGTGGAAGCTTCTCACGGATCTGCCGCGGTCAGGCCTTGCGGTCAGTGTAAAAACCGACGGTTCACTTACTAGCACAGCAGTGGCGTCAATTGACGAGTGTTCTAGTGCTGCTGTAGGGTCCAAGTGTCTCGCTCTCCTCTACCGCCGCGCCGTTCTTTGAGATTCTTACGAGCTGGCCACTGCACAGCATTCACACCGCAAGTTGGTGCTGCGCGCGTGATCGCGCTCCGCTATCTGATATATACAGGACAGCGCTACCCTAGGCTCTTCCGTCTTCCCCACATCTTGGCATAGTCTTACCGACGTACTGCTTTCTCTATCGCCTATCATCGCAATCTCGTCTTTCACCGGTCACAACACATTCGTGACCTCTGACAACTTGACGGCCAAATACACCGCTTTGGATCGTCTTTCCACCTGCGACTTTCAGCGAATGGAGTGCCCTGCAAATGATGGTCCCGACACCGATGATTGTAGAGCCTTAAACCCCTCGCCTGAAAGCAGCACCTGGTCCGCCTGCTCCAACAACCGCCATCAATCGCCTCGCCGTCACCACTCTCGATCTTCGTTCTATATCGCACTGCTTTTTATCTGCGGTCTGGCCTATTTTGTAGTCTCGTGCACTCTCTCCGTTCAGGCTTACGTCCTTCCTCCTTCTGTCAAACCACAAGACAGTGTTGACACTCTCAATTCGGACCTCGCCTTCTCTGACATAGCCCGCGATGATCGATTCATAGCACCCACTACCCAGAGTCGTGCCCCTGACGCACGATCCTTCGATTCTGACGTCAACTCTATCCATGTCGCATCGAGCCAATCCATCCTTCGCTGGATTCAGGACAAGACTCGTGATGCGCAGACTGGAGACACGCTCGAGTCTCAGGCATTGCTCGACGATCTCTACGACCGCCTTTCAATTCGGCGACGCACCAGCGATGCTTCCTTTCAATTGGAAAGTCGGGATAGCGCTACCGTAGCAGTGGCCAAGTCTGTTCGCCGCCGCCTTTTCAAGCGTGCCACATCCAGTGGCAGCGAGTCATCGTGCCACGACACGGAGCTTTCCGAGACTCAAAAGGTCGTCTACGGTATCCTCATCCCTATTCTCGTCGTGCTTTCGGGTCTTTTTGCTGGTCTTACTCTTGGCTATATGTCACTTGACGAGACCCAGCTGCAGGTGCTCTCCTTGCAGGGAACGCCCAAGCAGAAGCGGTATGCAGAAAAGATCATGCCAATCCGCAAAGATGGCCATCTTCTGCTCACGACACTTCTGATTGCCAACATGATTACCAATGAGACGCTGCCCATCATTGCCGACCCTTTGCTTGGCGGTGGTGTCCAGGCTGTCATTGTTAGTATCGTCCTGGTCGTTATCTTTGCCGAGTTGATCCCACAGTCGGTCTGCTCGCGATACGGTCTCGCTATTGGCGCAAAGCTTGCTCCGCTCACGCGCGGAGTCATGCTCTTGCTCTGGCCCATTGCTTTCCCTGTGTCTCGAGTGCTTCACTGGACCCTCGGACCTCATCATGGTATTGTCTACCGACGATCCGAGCTCAAAGAGTTGGTCAACATGCATGCTGCCACCGCCGGTCGTGGTGATCTCAACAACGACACTGTCACCATTGTCGGTGGTGCTCTCGATCTCCAAGAGAAAGTGGTCAAGCAGGCCATGACAGCCATCGATCGCGTTTTCATGATCTCGATCGACTCCAAGCTTGGCTACGAAACGCTTCAGCAGATTGTCAGCTCTGGTCACTCTCGTATCCCTGTCTACCAGGAGATCGAGATTGCTGTCAACAAAGCACGCAGTGGAAGCGGTGCTCTGACGCCCATCCGGGGCGGCTTCTTGAGTGCTTTGAGCAGGAAGGTCAGCAACTCACAGTCTAGACAATCTGTTGATGATCAGGGCACCCTCGAAGGCAGTGTCATCTGCGAGAAGGAGCCTGCATCGGCCAACGCTGACACCCACCATTCAACTGTCACCGCCGCCTCTGGTGACAAGGCGAATACAACGACCTCGATCACGACCATCAAGCGTAAGAAGATCATCGGCGCCCTGCTCGTTAAGCAGTGTGTTCTGCTTGACCCCGAGGACGAGACACCTGTCCGTGACATGGTCATCAACGCACTTCCGACCGTCCCCGCCGACGAGCCACTGCTCAATCTGCTCAACGTCTTCCAGGAGGGTCGCTCGCATCTCGCCATTGTCTCTTGGCGCACTCGACGCTCCTCGCCCGGCTCTTTTGTGGATCTCGGCAACGACAACGATGCGCGCAAGACCCAAAACGTTGCTCGATCTGGCACCGTCGCTCGCATCGAGACACTCGTCAACATTGACGAGGAAAAGCAGCTGGATGATTCGGCCATCAAGAAGTCAAGTTTCTGGTCTCGCCATCTCCGCAGACATCACCGTGGCCACGCCAAGTCCAACTCGCTCGACTTGCCTCCTGAGGCCCTCGAGAACGACATCGATGTGGACGCTGTTGCCACCGAGATGGCCCAGCGTGATGTGCCCATCGGAATCATCACTCTTGAGGACGTGCTCGAAGAGTTGATCGGCGAAGAGATTCTTGACGAATACGACTCCGAGGTCGAACAGAACTTCGCTCAGATCAGCCCTCCCCCCAGCCCTGGTCACAAGGAGATGGTCGACAAGAAGGTGGAGACGCCTAATGACGCTGACGAAGTACAGCTGCCTGCTTTTATCCTGAAGCTGCCCACCAGCCCGAAGATTGCTCTACCTCGCTTCAAGCTTGGACGCAGCGCTAGTCAGAAGGAGACCGATATCAGCGGCTCGGACGCTTCTGTTAGAACCTCTACTGCTCCTACTCCTGTCGTTGAAAGCACTGCCCAGATGCCGTCGAACAAGGATGAGGTAACCAAGAGCGAAGGCGTGCACTTCCCCTTCGACAGAGAGGGCGGCGTCAGCTCGAGGCCTTCATCGCGTCCTGGCTCACGTTCTGTCTCTCCTGGACCAGCCGCCGTTCTCAACAGCACTGAAGACACAACGCTCGCTGCTCCACGCGCCAACAAGCCTGTCGTGATCCGTCACCAGGCACCTGACGGCACCATCGCCACAGCTATCGTCGGAGAGGGTCTCTTGCGCGGACGAACCAACACGCTCGCTTCGGAGCGCATCGCCAGCGGAGAAGCCAGTCGAAGTAACACCCCTTCAGGAACACGCGTCAGCAGATTCAAGAGCACGCCTCTGCTTGGCAGTGTTCCCAGCACACCTGTAACAGGCGTCGCTCCCAAAAGCAGAGCAACCTTCGGCAAGCCTGAGGTGGGATCCGCCCTTGTGGAAGAGGAGTGTGCTTCGAACGATGTCGCCGTTGCTAGTCCTGAGGAGCTTGAATCTCATGACAAGAACAAGCAGCTCGGTGGTGACAGCGATGACACTGATACGCTCTGAGTCCAAAGCATAGTGTATCCACCCGTTTGAAGTCTTGTCTGAAGCATTGACAAAGACGATGCTTCTCTCGTTTGTTGTGCGAAACTGCGAAATATCATCTTGTCTTTCCTTCTTTCACCGGTCAGCGTTGTGTGTGTCGGCACGAAGCATGCAGCTGAAAACTTCAGTATGGCCGAGTGGAACCGCTAGCAGTGGCATGTTCGAAAAGCTGCAATTTCTGATACGTAATTTTTTGGAAGAGAGCCACGCCCACGTCGATCCCTGCGTCCAGCCTGATCGTCGGGAAGTCTCCCTCAGCCAACATCCTACGCTTTGTGACAGAGCAGTAACTTATTGCAGAACAACTGAACAGGCAGGTCTGCAACGGAAGCCGAGCAAGTCTCATCAGCGACGCTGCTCCCTGAAAAGAGAGCTTCTCATCTCGGATATCCCACCTTTTCCCATCGACCTCATCTGCTTATATGACAACGACGACCCACCAACAATAACGACATCACACAAGCTGCTCGCGCACCATGCCCGTCTATCCACCAGTCGAGCCCAGCAACAGCGACTTCCCCGAGCAACCCGCGCTCGAAACCCTGCAGGATGACCCTCTCAAAGGCGGCCTAGCACCATGGCGTACTACCCCAATCAACGACCCCGCTAACCTCACCAACCGAGGCGATCTTCCAACTCACGCCTCACCGATCGTCTTTGGCGGTGGAGTATTCGGCCAAGACATGTACAATGACTCCAAGACCCTTGCTTCCGATCTGCCACTTCGCACCGTCCGGCTAGCTCTTCGATATGGAATTAACGCCTTCGACACCTCGCCATACTACTTCCCATCCGAGTTCACTCTCGGTAATATCCTGCGCTGCCTACGACCGGAATTCCCAAGGGAAAGCTACTTCATCACTACAAAGTGCGGAAGGTATGGGCCGGAGAAGCAGCACTTCAACTACACTGCGAAGAAGATTGATGAGAGTGTCAGAGGCAGCTGCAGGAGGCTAGGGACGGAGTATTTGGATGTTACGCTGACGCACGATGCAGAATTTGTATGCGAGAGGGTGGGTAAAAGTCATGATGAGGGATGGGAGAGCGGGGTCGTTTCTGGCCTTGTTCAGCCCAGTACGGTGGGGATGAGCCAGAGCAGAGATGAAGTTTTAGAGTCGCTAGGCTTGGCACCCAAATTAGAAGCTGCGAGCAAGATTCACGGCAAAGGCGACGAGCAGTTCTTGGAGGCCGTCAGAACGCTGTTCAAGCTGAAAGACGAAAGAGTCATCAAGCGAGTGGGTATCTCAGGCTACCCTTTGCCGGTACTGCTGCGCTTGTCGAGGTTAGTTGCTACAAACGCACCCTATCGACCGCTGGATGTGGTATTGAGCTACTCGAACCACTGCTTGCACTCTGACGTCCTTCAGGGCGAGTGGAAGGAGCTCTTCGCTGCTGACCCTCGAGGCGAATCTGGAACGAACTCGCTGAAAGATCTCATTTGGAAAGCACCACTGCTCATGAATGGGTCTCCTTTCTCAATGGGCCTTCTCACCGACGGCAGCCCGCCACCCTGGCACCCTGCAAGCGACGCTCTCAAAGCAGGAACAAAGGAAGCTAGCAAGAAACTTGTCGAGCAAGGAGACTCGCTTACAATGACCGCTCTCACCTATGGGCTGAGGGGATCTGAAGTTCCGCACAAGGACGGACAAGGACCTGAGCTGAGGACGCTGGTCGGATTGAGTCACCCTGATCACGTCCATAGTGCGGTGGAAGCTTATCGGATGCTTTCTGCTGGAGCGGCGGCAGCTGGCAAAGCACTGTGTGAGCTGAAAGAGGACAAGGAAGCGAAACTAAAAGCGTACAAGAAACAGGAGAAGCATGAGAAGATGGTACGGAATCTGTTTGCTGATTGTGGAGTCAGGGAGTGGAGCTGGTCAAGTGGTCTTTAAATCGCTGCCCTCGCAGGCAACAGACTTCAACAGCAGCAGCAATGAAAGAAGCTCGAGTATCTTCATCTGCTTTCGTGGCAGGTCGTGAGCTCGACGCCTGTGTGGACAAGGAGCATGTATTGTGAGTAGCTCGAACACCGAATCGTGCCCTTGAAGTGCATGTCGTGTGAGTAGCAGACCGAGGACCGAAAGAGCAAGATTAGTTGTGCCGATGTAACACTGTTCAAAAAAATCAGCAAGAAGCGGACGTGTGGAGGAAAGTGGCTCGATCACAGACTGCGCTTGATTTTGACCAAAAAAAAAAAAAAAAAAACAAAAAAAAAAAAAAAAAAACGTGGTTGCAGAGCAGCAGTATTCGAGAAATGTGGAATTATGCTTGTGACGCGTACTGCCAAGGTGTCCAAGAGCTAGTCCATCTCGCAACCAACACAGAGTTGGAACACCATTTCCATCACCATCCTTCACATCAAACCTCTCCCCTCACTCTATTCAAACCTACGCCTTCCTTCATACATTGGCAGCGTCTATCAGAAGACCGGAACTATCCGCACGATAACGCTTGCAGCCACCCTTTCATTCTAACTGTACGGAACACCAGATCTGTCAAACGAAATAGACGACGCTTTCAGCCTCCGACGATCAGTTCGAAGAACACTTTCGCCGTCGCTGAACAGTACTCTAGAGATCGCTTCCCAAAACATCACAATGACCGCACCACAGACAGTAGCACAGGCTGACGAAGCCATCAAGGCAGGCAACAACAAAGAGGGCGAGCGCATTCTCAAGTCCATCCTCTCCAACCAGTCCTCTTCGACCGATGATGCTTTCCTCAAGGAGCAGGAAGCATCTCTCCTTCGTCTCGGTGAGCTCTACCGTGACACCAAAGATGCCAACGCTCTTGCCGAGACCGTTCGCTCCTCACGCACATTCATGAGCAACATCGCCAAGGCGAAGACCGCCAAGCTCGTCCGCACTCTCATCGACTACTTCGAAGACATCCCCGGCAGCCGACAGACTCAGATTCAGGTCACAAAGGAAAACGCAGAATGGGCCAAGTCGGAGAAGCGTATCTTCCTCAAGCAGAATTTGGAGACCAAACTGATCGGTCTCTACTATGACAACAAGAACTACCGCGAAGCACTCCCTCTCATCGATGCGCTGCTCAAAGAGCTCAAGAAGCTCGACGACAAGATGATCTTAACCGAAGTCCACTTGCTCGAGTCCAAAGTCAACCATGCAATTTCCAACATGCCAAAAGCGAAAGCAGCGCTTACATCGGCACGCACAGCAGCCAACTCGATCTACTGCCCCCCAACACTTCAGGCTCAGCTCGATTTGCAAGCCGGTGTTCTCCACGCTGAAGACAAGGACTACACAACCGCCTACTCGTACTTCTTTGAAACCCTCGAGGGCTTTGCATTGCAAGACGATCCCCGAGCTCCTTTGGCGCTCAAGTACCAACTGTTGTGTAAAGTCATGTTGAACCTCTCCGACGACGTCAACAGCATCATCAGTGGCAAGCACGCCACCAAATACGCAGGTCGAGATGTTGACGCAATGAAGGCTGTCGCTCAAGCTCACGAAGAACGTTCGCTTGAAGCTTTCGAACTAGCGCTTCGAAACTACAAGGAAGAGCTCTCCAACGATCCAATTGTCCGCGCACACTTAAGCGCGTTGTACGACACTTTGCTGGAACAGAACCTTTTGAGAGTCGTCGAACCATACTCGAGGGTAGAGATCGCGCACATTGCAAAGGAGGTCAAGCAGCCGGTTAGGGAGGTGGAGACCAAACTATCACAGCTCATTCTTGATCGTCGTCTTCATGGTATTTTGAGTCAGGGCGAAGGATGTTTGGTCGTGTATGATGAGCCGGTGGAGGACAAGAGCTATCAATTGACGCTGGATACTTTGAAGCATGTTGGTACTGTGGTGGATAGTCTGTACAAGAAGGCGAATAAGCTGACATAAAGGAAGTCTACTGCGTGGAAAGTTGTTTGTAGTCATACGTAGCGCAGAAGTAAAGTTGATAACCAATTCCTGAACAAAAGAGCTTGATCGTGCGGCATCGCAATCAAGTGACAGATTTGAGAGGATGAGGTGCTGTTGAGCAAAGCGAACAAAGCTCAGCTTCCCGGCTCCTTCAATCCCATCCTTGATTGTCTTCTTCACGTCCACACCGGCTTCGTCGCCAGATCTTCTGGCACTTCGTCCTCCGTCTTTGCGCGGACCGGCTATTACCCGGCTCGAGAAGGAGAAGTCGATTGGGTTCAGGATCGCAATGATGTCGAATTTCGGTCTCACACCAGACGGAATTTCTGAGTCGAGTAGCATTGCAGCATAAACAGAGGACCTATGTCAGCACACTTTCAGTGGTGCTTTACATCGGCATGTGTGAGCTTTGTTGGAACCAATCCTTTGCCCAACTTGGCGTTGTCAGCATGATTAGGGTCGGCTTTCGCAATCACACGTTCCAAAGCATCCAAGCCTCTGTCAACCTGTGACAATTCCGGTCCATACGAGATCCTAATAAACTTCTCGCAAGGACTGTGGATGATGTTCCTTCGTCGTGCTGGGTTGATATCGAAGGCGATGCCGGGAACGACAATGCAAGATTCCTTAAGCAGTTCCTCAAACATAACCAGTCCTGTTGAAGATATCGAGGGGATGAGGGAGCATGAGAAGTCAGCAGAAGCCAAATCATGACAGAGAAAAGAAAGCAGACGAGTGAACGACTTACCAGAATTGAGTGGAGGCGGCAAAGACGCCAAGGACAACCAGATGTAGAAGGTAGCTTGAGGCTCGATCTTGACTTCGAGACCCATCTTCTTGAGTCGGGCGAGAACGTGCTTTCGTTTGTGCCTGAAAAGCTTTTGGAGGGCGATGCGGTCCTGGTTGCATCGATCGAGATCAAGCATCTTAAGAGCCATGCACTGCATGGGGTGAGAAGTGCCACCGTCCAGGAAGGATCCGGACTGGTTGAGCGCAGTGACGATGTCTTTTGGACCGACGACCCAGCAGACTCTCCAGCCAGGAAGACGAAAGCCTTTAGTGAGACCGTCGATGAGAACAACGGGCGTCTCGTTGATATCATCAATGTGTTTGGCTGCAGAGTTTGCTCGACCGAGGGGACCCTCATGCATGTACCAGGAGTAAAACTCGTCGAGCAGGATGGTGCAGCCAAGCTCCTTGGAGGTCTCCACAAGAGCCTTCAGTTCTTCACCTTCGATGACCATGCCTGTAGGGTTACGAGGATTGGACATTATCATTGCACTGAGACCACGTCCTTTGATCTCCTTACGGAGATCTTCAGTGCTAAGCTTGTACCTATCCTCCTCCGAGAGGACAGTAGGAATGGGAACGAGACTCTTGAAAGCGCTGAGCATGGACTCGTAACTGGTGTACTCGGGCAGTTGGTATCCGCAGTTGACCGAGCCAATGACGGCCGCGAGGCGTGTCATGCCGGCACGGCCACCAGGAACAATACAGATGTTTGTGTGATCGAATTTTTTGCTGTGGTTTTGTCGGAAGGTTTCATTATAGTAATTGGCGACCGCCTTACGGAGGGCCATGGTACCAGTGTTGGGAGCGTACTCATGGACGCCCTCACCAAACTCGGAGAGATCGAATTGAAGGGTACGAGGAACGCCACCTTCGATGTTGCCGACTTCGGGCGCGCCTTGACCCATGTTGGCCCACTCTGGATTTCCATAGTAGAAGCCATTGCTAGTAGCACGATCGGTGACATAGATGACTCCAGTGCTCCCGGGATGTTCGATAGCCGGAAAGTGTTCGCCAGCCTCTTGCGTGTTGAGTTGAGTCTTGAAGGCGGTGGTATCGGCTGTAGAGATTGTAGAGGCCCGACGGCCATTGTGACCCGGATGAGCTCGGAAGATGCGATGTGCTTCGGACTGCTCTTCGTGTTGAATAGTGTCAACGACGGCTTCGGCTGCGGCGTTGAGCTTCTTGGCTGGTCGATCCGCCGAGTCGTGGGATTCACCGTGAGGAGCCATTGATGCAATGCGCCTGTTCGGCGGCTGCAGGGGGGTGGGGATCGCGGGCCGGGTGGTGGTAGTGAGAAGGCAAGGAGAAGAGAACGGATTTCGGAAGTGGAGTTGCAAGAGAGTGTGAGATTGTTGGTTGGAAAATTAATTAATTCGCGTTGAGCACATCTTGCTTATCCGGAGCTGCTGTTTGGCAGAAAAAAATGTCGCCCAGAGCTCGCAAGACTCGCACAACCAACACCTCTACTTTCTTTCTGCCCCTTCTCTGCTTGCAATACACTGCACCCCTAGGCCTGAATCAACAGCTTGGCTTCGGTTTCAACCTGAGCCCATCGAAGAGATGGTGGCTTCTTCATCGCCGGCATGGCTCTTGTCCTCGCCATCTCACGCTGACTGTGACAAGGCTTTGAGCGCCCTGCGCATCGCTCAGCCGGCTGCCATTCTTCTTGTCGCCCTAGCTTCGGTACTTTTGGATCCTGCCAAAGCAGCACTCAACCACCTTCTGCACCCTCGCCGTTCGGACTACGACCAGCTCCGTGCTGAAGCGGACCAGGACCATGAACTGGATCAAGCACCTCAGCCGACACCCGTTGTCGTGCCTGTCCGATCACGCCGCCGTTTCCTGACCCAGTCTGCACAGCTCTCCTTGGCAGCAACGTTCTTTGTCTCGGGTACCTTGATTATACTGCGAGCCGTCATCCCTCCCAAACAATGGCAGCCAGACATCCTTCTCTGGGGTGGCATCGACATTCAAGCCGTCGGCGGCCTCCTTGCTTGGGGCTCAGTTGTCATTGCTGCGCTGTTCGAAGAGAAGGTCAGAGGTCGAGGGAGCTACGGGAGGGGCAAGTCTGCTTGGTCTGTCACAGTAGGTGCCGCAACAGATATCTGCTTGCTCGTACTTTACATGGTCCCCAAGGAACGAAGTGACTTCCCATCGACCAGCCCGTGGTCCATTGCCCAGCTCGGCCTCATCATCCTTCGTCTGCTTCTTCTTTACCCTCTTCTCATTCTGGCTTTGTCATCGGACCGTGTTCGCTTCGTGCGCGCTGCTGACCTCGCCAACGAAGCAGCCACGAATGCACCTGGATCTTCCTCGTCTCAGCCGCGCTCGGCTCCCGCCAACGGCGAATCAACTGGCCTTCTTCAAGCTCCAGGCATATCTTCAACGACATCGTACGGAGCCATTGGTAGCAGTGCAGCGAATCGTACCAACAAGTCGGCGGCCGACTCCGGAAGCCAGACTGCTAGCCGTAATCCGAATGCATCGATGGGTCTCTCGGTTGCTGCTGCACCACCACCGCCTACATTCAAGACCTTCCTTTACCGCATTCGTTTCCTCTTCCCTTACCTTTGGCCTTCCAAGTCGGCAACACTGCAACTGACCGCTGTTGCGTGCGTTGCCCTTCTGTTCGCGGCTCGTGTCGTCAACTTCTTCACTCCACTCGCCCTCGGTCGACTCGTCGACGATCTGTCGAGCGGCGCCTCGCCATGGGCCGATGTCGTCATCTACGCTGGCCTCAAGATGCTTCAAGGGTCCGGAAGTCTTCTCAGTGTACTGCAGAACATTCTCTGGGTGCCTGTCGAGCAGTATTCGGACCGAATGATGAGCATGATGGCTTTCGAGCACTTGCTCAACCTCAGCATGTCGTTCCACACCAAGAAGAAGACCGGCGAGGTGCTCCGTATTCTTGACCGAGGCAGTGCCATCAACAACTTCTTCCAATACCTCCTCTTCAGCTTGCTACCCGTTTTCATTGACATCTTTGTTGCCATGATCTACATGACTCGGATCTTCAGCCCTGCCATTGGCGCGGCGCTCTTCATCGTTATGGTCGCGTACACCTGGACCAGTGTTCAGCTCACCACTTGGCGTACTGGCTTGCGACGTGCCATGAACAACAAAGACTCGATCTGCCGTGCCATTTCAGCCGACGTACTCATGAACTGGGAGACCGTCAAGTGCTACTCGAACGAGTCGTACGAGGCCGAGCGCTTCCGTAGCGCTTTGCAGGATTACCAGAAGGCCGAGTTCAAGGTGATCAGCAGCTTGAACATGCTCAACATGGTGCAGAACCTCATCTTGGCCTTCGGTACACTCTTCACGACGTTGCTTGTCGCTGGCAGCGTAGTCCGTGGCGACATCACCAGCTCGCAATTCGTCGTCTTCGTCACCTATCTCCAGCAGGTCTATCAGCCGCTCTCGATGCTTGGCACTCTTTATCGTGTGGTGCAACAGAACCTCGTCGACACAGACAAGCTGATGACACTGCTCGAGGAAAAGACCGAGGTCAAGGATGTTCCAGGCGCCAAGGATCTCGTCGTCACGGACGGTGTCATTGAGTTTCAGGACGTTCACTTCTCATACGATGGCAAGGTGGAAGCACTCAAGGGCTTGAGCTTCAAGATCGACCGTCACTCGAGCGTTGCTCTTGTCGGCGAGTCAGGTGCCGGCAAGTCCTCTGTGCTTCGTCTGCTGTACCGCTTCTACGATATCCAATCTGGTCGTATCCTGATCGATGGACAGGACATCCGCAATGTGACGCAACGCTCGCTTCGACGTGCCATCGGCGTCGTCCCACAAGAACCCTCACTTTTCAACAACGACATCCGCACCAACATCCTCTACGGTGACACCAAAGCCTCGGACGAGGCTGTCGAAGCTGCCGCTCTTGCCGCTCAGATCCACGACCGCATCAAGTCATTCCCTGAAGGATACAGCACCGTAGTCGGCGAACGTGGTGTTCGCCTGTCTGGTGGTGAGAAGCAGCGAGTTGCGATTGCACGAACCATCCTCAAGAACCCTCCTATCCTGCTGTTGGACGAAGCAACATCAGCGTTAGACAGTCAAACCGAGCGCCAGCTGCAGTCGGCGCTCAACAACCTCATGCAAGGACGATCGAGCTTGACCATTGCGCATCGCCTGTCGACCATCATCAACTGCGACACCATCATTGTCATGGACGCAGGTCGTGTTGTCGAAGTGGGCTCGCATGCGGATCTGATCGCCAAGGCTGGGTTGTATAACAAGATGTGGGAGCAGCAGATCAAGACGCAAAAGGAACAGGAGGCCGCTGCTGCAGCGCAGGAGGCTTCTTGGGAAGAAATCAAGGCCAAGGAAGCTGATGAGGAAACAGCCGCTGATGCTGGTCACGTTAAGGCACAGCCAGGGATGCTCGGCGTCGTTCCGCCTGTTGTCACTGGTGAGCCGGAGAACCCAATCAAGGATGCCGAAGAAGTCAAGGCCGCGAAGGACGAACCTAAGAAGAACAACACTGCTGACAGTGCTGTCGAGACGAAAGAAAGCAAAGAAGCTGGACCAGCGTCTTCAGTTGCCAACGGCGCCAATGGCACTGAGGCCGCGCCCAGTCAGTCTGAGGTGGCCGCAGCAGCCGAGCTTGCTAAAAAGACGCAGCCAGACACAACAGCAACAGTGACCAGCGAGGCGAATGGTAGCAATGGCAATGGTCTCCTCAGTCTTGAGACCGCGCAGTCTACGGAAGGCAGTCGAAGCGGGTCCAGCTTGCCTTTGTCACAGGATCTGGACGATTCGCCTTCTAGCTCGGACCTTGCCAACAGCGGAACCTTGAGCAAGGACGACAAGAAGAAAGCACAGAATCGCAAGAAGAACGCCAAGCGCCGCGAGAAGGAGAAGCAGAAGAAGTCGAGCGGGTGAGGCCAGGGGCGTGACTCGCAACACTCTTGCATCGCTTCCATCAACTTCATCCTTGGCCATCATCACCCTCTCCATACGGGCCATCCTTTTCTTACCCTATCACCCCCGACGCTGGCTTGCGCCCCTTACTGTCTTTACAAGTATCTTAGCATTCCAACATAGTCTATCAATACTGATCCGATGTGGTCCCTGAGTCATGCTGTTTGTGCAAGTGATGATAGAGCCAAATTGTATGAGCAGTCCGAAGTCAAGATCAATCGTAGGCGGAAGGGTTTCAATCGCAGTTGCGCTGTGTTTGAGAGATAAGAAGCTTTCAAGGTGGAGCAAATATGTCTTGCAGCGGAGCCAAGAGACCGTGCTGTGCTGCCTGATAATTTTCTTGAGTTGAAAATCAGTGAAATGCCACAGGGAAAATCTGACTCTGTAAACGACTGGAGCAGAAGGAGCGTTCTGGAAATAGAGGGTCGGTGCATTCTTTAAGACGTGATTCGACACTTCCGCGGCAGAATCGTTTACGACCATCACACCAAATCCAACTCAAGCTCCAGCTCAATTCCCATCACTCACACAGTTCAATCGGCTCTCCTCGGATCCACCATCCAGCTCAAAGGAGCATTTCACACACCTTCTTCCTCCTCCTCCTCCTCCTCCTCTTCTTCTTCTTCTCGAATCACTTTGATCACCTTCGTCGCTGGTCCGTGGACTTGCTTCCAACACATCCGCCCGCAGTCTGCCTTCGCTTCGTATCCCGCCCTCCACTCGATCAGGCTCACGCGTGGCGCGCACACACATCTACACGAAGCTCAGTTGCAAGCTACCGCTCACATTCATTCTTCGTTCTAACCGACTGGACGGCATCCAACAGAACGATACACCCCAGCTGTCACTACAGTACTCCCCTACCAGCTGTGACCGCCGGGAAGATTGACACTTGTTGCGTCTCCAATTGTCCTGCCTGTAACACCTCCACGGACATATCTCTCACGCTCCGAACCTGCAGCTGAGGTCATCACACAACCACCACCGTCTCCACTCTTGCCGGCGCAGCAGCTCGATCTGGCATCATGTCGAGCATGTCCGTCATTCCTCACGAGGAGCTGCCCATTCTCGAGGCGCTCATCAACATCCGTAACAGGCTCACAGCGCTCAAGAAGGACAGCTCCGAGTTCATCCGCTCGCACGACGTTCAACAACTGTACCAACATGTCATCAAGCAGGTGACAAGGCTCAACGCCGTCCGTGACGAGCAACAAGCCAACGCACAAGCTTCCTCCACCGCCAGCTCCACATCCGACCACCAAGATCAAGGCGATCAATCCACAGCTGACGGCACCGACGACTCTCCCGTCCTCCAACACAATCGCGTTGATACCACCTTGAACGACGTCTTCTCTCTCCTCAGCCTCTTCTTCCTCACTATTGGACGCAGTCGAGAGAGTCCTGCCACCTTCTCACAACTAAGCTGTATGAAGCAACTACTCGACCACCTTCAGGAGTCCGGTATCTACACCGAGGCTGACCTGCAACCATTCGGATCGCGTCTCACCGAATTGCGCGAGATCATCCGCAGAGACGGTGATTGTGGCCGACATCCACCACAACTCACCAAGCTCATGACGCGCAAGCTCGAGATCTGTGAAAAGACGGTTCGCAAACTCGAAGGCTCGCTCAAGGTGCTTTCTGTCGAGCTTGTTCCCATCCATCAGAAGATCATTTCGATTCGACGACAACTCGCAGCAGCTGCGGCCAAACCAAAGCCGGCACGAGCAGAGATCAAGCAGCTGCAGGAGGAGCTGCGAAAGATTGATGCAAAGCGTGTCGATGGCAAATTCTTGGGTCCAGGTGGTAGTTCCGTCCCTGCTGGTCAGGCCATCCTCGTTGGCTTGCTCGAGGAATGCTTCGAGATCTGCCACGACATGACTGTACGCAACGACGAGGTGCCCATGACCTTGCAGCCAATCTACGACCGACTCGTCGAGATCAAGTCACAGCTCGAACACTTGGTCTTGACGCATCGTTGGACACTGCGCGAGACTGACCTCTGGAACTACCAAGTCACACTCAAGGAGATCGATCGACTACGTGTCAACGGTAAGTTTGTCGACTCGGAAGGCAAGCAGCCCGAAGGCCAATTGGTGCTTCTCTACTTGCTTCGACGATGCTACGGTCTCATCTATCGACTCGTTGCATCCTCAGAACCCATCTCGGAGGAGCTCATGCCCATCAGCAATAAGCTGTCCACCGTGTCCAAGTGTCTCAAGGAGGTCTCCAAGTACGGAGGACCCTTCACCATGCGCGACCTCTACCCTTACCGTCTGGCCCTACATCAGATCGACAACATGCGAAGCAAAGTGTTGGACAAAGACGGCAACGACACTGGCGTCCGAAAATGGCTCGGTCGTGACGGCAGTGTCCCTGAAGGTCAAGCCATCCTCCGAGCTCAGTACGAAGAGGTGGAGCAAACCATCGAGGAGATGCTCAACCGTGAGGACGACGACGATGATGACGAGGAGGAGGACATGTGGGATGGCGACACCGCATCCAGCGCATCTCTCTCCGGCACAGAGTCGGCGGCTTCGGACAGCGAGGATGATGGCGAGGGTCCATCAGCTGAAATGGTCAATCAAGCTCTGATGGCACGCGGAAGTCCAATGATTGGTATGGCACCACCAGACCAACCTGCTACACAGCCCAACTCGGCTGCCCCTTCCAGAAATGCCAGCTACACATCCAGCCTGTCCGGTCGGGAGACTGGATTCAGCGGCGGTCTAACATCGATCACACCCTTATCAGCGGCTACTGCTGGTGCAACCCCTGGGGCACCTCCTGTCACTGCATCTCCCATCCCTGTCCCTGCTGCCGAGCCTTGTTCCTCAACCGCATCCAGACCAGAGGTAGACACGGCAGGAGCTTCAGCGTCGTCCTCGACGCCTTCAGCAGCAGCCGCTACCCCTTCTCCCACTGCATCTCAGCTGCGCTCACAAAAGATCGGACGGGACTTCCGTGACGGTGTTGGTGACTTGACTGGTCTCAGCTCGCGCTCTCCTCCAATCAACATCCCTGATGGCAAGGCCACCTCGCTGCAGGCCATGGCCCAGGCGACTGCTCCAACGCCCACGTCTGCAAACGGCTTGGGGGTTTCACCTTTGTCGCAAGTACCAGCGAATATATCCGATCGTCTGCCGGCAGGAGCTGCACCGCTCGCTATTCCCACACCTGGCATTCTTGAGGACCAGAAGCGATCGGGTCCATCCATCGGTACACACATCGATGCTGTGGTGGAAGGCTTCCAGGAAACATCAATCAATGATGTTCTCTCGAGTTCCGCAAGCACCGCATACGAAAGCAGCACTACCTGATTGACCAGTCCACATTGTTCTCTTTACTGTCACCTGTCAATCTGAAATCTCCACACTCTACGGACTTTGTTCTGTCATCACTGAGCCAGACTGCATGATTGTGCAAACTTAGCGACACCTCGATGCCCGATGCAATCGCTCAGATGTTCTGTGAGGATGTGTTCAAGGAGCTTGATGCTGTTTGAAGCGAGTTCGTGAGAGCCGTCATGAACCGGATCTTCTTGGGCATCCGTGCGAGAGAAAAGAAAACCAAGGCACGCTCTCCTGCCGCATCTCGGAATTTTCGAGATGCAAATGTGCGATCAGCGATCAGAAGAGCTCTCACGTCTCGCTGCTTCGCTCTTCTGGCTGAAATGAAAAAGAACAAAAAATCAACACAGCAAACAGCGGAAAGCGAACAGGGCATCGCTCGCTCTTGCCCAACACTGTTTCTTCTTCTACTCCTACTTCTCATCACCTCAAGAACCACAAGCAGCTCGACAAAGAGTTTTCACTCCGACGCAAGAAGGAGCCCGAGACAGTGATAAAGGGAGATGGTCTGATAGCTGCGAACCGACCAATGCTCCAATCTCCTTGCCTCGACAGTAGCACTTAAAACAGCAGCGGTCATCGCTCCTCGACTTCATTTCGGTTGTCGTCAAAGCTCGTTATTGCCCACTACGACACGAGCCTCATCACCGCTGCACGGCACTCTCGCACTTGTCAACACACAGCAAGGTTGCACACACAATCACATAGAGCCTGCAATCATGGGTCCTTCAAGACACACGCGGTCGGCCGCGAACGCAGCCGCTCGAAGCGAAGATTCCGCTTCCGCACCCGCTTCTTCTTCAGCACTCACCTCCACTGCAGCTTCTTCAAGAACACCTACTAGAGAATCGCCTTACACCAGAACGCCAACGAAGCCATCATCTTCCGCCCTCACCCTTGGTCCTAGCACGCCAACGTCTAGGACCAGTTCACCAATGATGCTGCGTGAGATCTTCTCGATGATCAGCCCCTTCCGGGGCCACAGCAAGGCAAGACGATCTGCTGCCTTCGGCGCTGCGGATGAGATGGAAGCGGAGGAAGATCAAAGCGCCCAAGCAGTACAGCCAACCCGAACGCCTTTGCTCGAGGATGTGCAGGAAGATGTCGACACTGAGGACCGAATGATCGAGCATGCCGAAGAAGGTGTCTCGAACACTACCTCCGTCTCTCGCAAGCTTCTCGATATTCCTAGCTCATCGCGGCCAGTGTCTCGTTCACCAAGCCCTAGACCACGGTTACCTATTCCAATGCCCGAGCCGCTCAAGTCGCTGCCTTTGGCCGACAGTGAACTCGTGACACCTGGCCTTCGTCGACAAGCTGACAACCTGCGGCCTGACCTATTCACATCAACTCCAGGTCCTTCAACGTCGTACGCGCCCCTGCCGCAACAGCAGATGAGCCCGGTCTCTCGCAACTACGACTTGCTAGCTCGCTTCTTCTCTGAGAAGCAACGTGGAGGGCAAGGCGGCCTCACCGAGGTTGAAGTGGAAGGTTGCATCAGGTTGATCGAAGAAAGCATGGCGACAGGCCGCAATCTCGAGTCTGAATTTGCTGGTAATCACTCATCCTCCCACGGTCGACAGTACCCATCTATGCAAGCGTTTGACTATGCTTCCTCCACGCGCGCCAGCAGCATCGTACCGTCATCATCTGCGATGCCGGTCACGCAGAGCATGGGCAATCTCTTCCACCCAGGAACCAACCGCATGCCCGCCTCGTCGAACTCGTTCTCTTTCTTGGCACCTCGCGCCGCTGCCTCGCAATCTACCAGACCATTTGGCGCACCGACCTTGTCAGCGCCGCGTCGTCGACCCATCTATTTGGGACCAGGCATGAGCGGCCTGTCACTCCATCGTAGGAGACCGGTCATATCCAGCGCCTCGCGTGCTGCCACACTTGCTGGTTCGCAAGGACAAGGCTTGGTGCCAAGGTCCAGCACGGATCCTAATCTTGCAAGACACGCACGAAACGATGACGACACTATTATGCAGGACGCATCTGAACGAGCTGCCGGTCTTGAGGATGCAAAGCGCCGTCGTACAGCTGCCGCTGCTGATTCTGGCTCTCCCGCACAGAGTCGCTCGTCGATTGCGGGCCAGACGGTCCAATTCGACCCCACGTACGAGAAGCAAGCTCGCCAGAGCAGCATGCTTGCGAAGGACATTGCAGCCTCTTCATCCTCCACCATTGCTGGCGCCTCTGGATCGCCCTTGAAGCGAACAGCTCCGACTGCTGAGCCAGTCAAGACCAGTCCGCCAAAAGCAACAACACGCACCGCCAACGCCATCCAAGACATACTGAAAAGCAGCCCGCCTGTTCGTCCACCAACTAAGCCTGAGCTAGTCAATCCATACCAGCAAGTGGCACCCTTGCCAGCCAGAAGCAGGAAGCTTGGCGACAATGAGACTTTGTCTTCAACATCAGTGCGCCGATCTGCTCGCTCGTCGATGCTGACCCGCGCCAAGGAGAGGAAGACGGCAAAAGCGGCCGAGAAGAGCAGCCCGCCCAAGGAAACTGTCCTTGAGCTTATCGAGCGTACTGCACCAAAGACTGCAGCCAGCAAGAGAAAGGCTACCAGCGATGCAACGGAGGATCAACGCAATGGCAGAGCCACCACAGCTTCATCATCTACAGCATCGGCTGCCTCTACAGCAGCTAGCGCCACCATGGAAGAGCAACGCAAGCTGCAAAAGACGGAAGAGGTACAGCGACGTTTGGAAGCACCCGACAAGGCGAGGACCGATCAACAAGCTGCAGCCAAGCCCACTGCTGCCGATTCGTCAAGCTCGCAGAAAGCAGCGGGACCCATTGCAAAGGCGGCCTCTGCTGCCAATTTGGTGCCTCCACAGTATACGGCTACAAAGCCAAAGAAACCTTCGCCTCTATCGGCTACATTCCAGGTACCTGATTCGCCCAGCTCGGACTCGGAGTCGGCACCAGCACAGCCTCGCGGACCTGAGATTGCTAAGCCGAGCTTCAACTTCGGAAGCTCCTTGGCATCGACCTCCAGCGCTGCAAAGCCGCCATCTGCACCATTCTCATTCAGCGCACCGAAGCCCAGCGCTCCTCCTGCTCTAGCTGCGGCATCAGCGCCTGCTCCAAGCAGCGGTTCATTCAGCTTCTCCGAGCCAGCAGTAGCAGCGCCTCCTGCCGCCGCTCCTTCTGCACCTTCGACGGGTTCCACTTTCTCGCCCATCACACCAGCTTGCTCGCAGCCGCAAACATATTCCAAGCCTGCAGCTATAACTCCTGCTAGGACGTTCAACTTCTCAGCACCTGCCGCCGCCCCTGCTTTCGCAGCTTCGAGTTGTTCTGCTGAGACATCGTCGCCTCGCAGTGAAGTGTTGGCAGAAGACGCATCCAAATTGCCCAAGTTCGAATGGCAAGTGCCTGCACCAAGCACCAGCGCAGCTGCCGATAAAGCATTGCGGGATGAGATCAAGTCAGTAGCTCAGTCGGCATTGCCCAAGTTTGACTTCATCTATGAGGTCAAGACGGCGACTGCTTCTGGTGACAAGAAGAGACAGGGAGTAACCGCTGCTGCTCCAGTCGAGCCAGCTGCACCTGCACCTAGCGCTGGGTTCAGCTTCTCGGCTCCCTCTGCCGCTCCTGCACCTGCTCAAACTACTGCCAGCTCTGCTGCTTCTTCTGGCGAAGACAGGACGAGCGGTTCCGATGATCCCAGCAAGAACCAATCCTCCGGCCTTCTTGGAGAAGGAGAAGGCGAAGAATCGGAATCGACCCTGCATGAAGTCCGAGCAAAGATCTGGTCTCTCGACCCACTGACTAAGGCGTGGAAGGACCTAGGAGTGTGCGTTGCAAAGCTCAAGCACAATTCAGAGACCGGTAAACACAGACTGCTGGCTAGAAACGAGGCTAACGGTAAAGTAGCAGTCAACTTTATGACCTACAAAGGGTTGAAGACGAAGCTGGAGAGTACGGTAAACACTTTCCTTGGGTTTGAGGGTAAGGAGCCCATGACGTACAGAGTCAAAGTCAAGACTGAAGACATGTCGAAGGAGTTCAAGGAGAAGTTGGAGGGTGCTAGTGCCTAGACATCCGGTGGCGGTTGATGCGCAATAAGAAGATGTAAAGACTTTTGTGTGAGTGTATGTAGGTCCGTCTGTGCTCTCATCCAACTCCCTCCCCCTCCCTTGTTGTTCGACTTGGGTCGCTGCTTTGCCCCTATTATTTGATTGATCAGCCTTCTTCAGTGGCTGGTTGATTGAAGACGGAGGCTATATCAAAGACTTTTCCCCTTTGGGAAAGGATCAAGAAACTAGGATTTAGGTCAACATCTCTTTTTCGCTTCCGTGGGAGTTGACCCATTGAATGTTTCAGACATGCCTCATTCACCCTTTCCCCTCACCCTTTCGCCTCTTTTATTCTCTTGTTTTTTGCCATCTCCTTGGTGGATTGTCTCTTGTTCGTTTATCTTTCAACGTCAATGCACAGATGGACGACTATTCTGATGGATTTTTGTGGTGAGTACCTTGGCTAGGTTCTGTTGGTGTTCACGGTTGCGTTGCGGTGAGGTGATGCGTTTGGTGTGGCGTGAGGATGGACGTGTTGATGGCGAACAAGACTGCTGTCTTTCGGTAACCTGTTCCCTTGTAAGCGGTGTAGGGCCAGGAGGGTTAGGGTGTCGACACACGTCACGCTCTCTCATCTCGGGCCTTTCATGCTGTGCAGAAGGGGATGCCTGGGAGACAAACATAACAGACTTGTTCGACAAGGCTACTCAGAGTCCTATATCGATCGTGTTCCCCCCCCTCTTTGCCTCGGCGAACTTCTTTCTTGCTCTCGTTGTTTCTCTATTCTGAGCGAGGTTGGTGTGAGAAGTGTTCCCTGAGGAGCACCCACATCGTCCTGGCTGTATGATGAAGGGTGAGAGGGGAAGAAATAGTGGTCTTGGGTGAGAGAAGGGGTCAGGACGGGTGGGCTTGAGGTTCACACCTTAAGGCCAAACCAGTCTCCCGTAGATTCAGAGGAGGATGGTGTTCTTTGCCACCAACATTCTTCGGCGGCGGTTAGGCGCACGTTGTTCTAGGCGCACGTTGTTCTAGCTGCTGCATGCGTGCAAATGATAAGACGTCTTTGACGCGATCTTGGCCATTGTCAGGTACCCTGAAAGAGCAGGTCTCGACGATTAGAATGGATGAGACTCATCGGTCAACGCAAAGCATAGATCGGCGGCAATCATCCATAAAAACAAAAGAATCGGATCAGAAAGCCTCAAGACCTGGCCGGTAGGAGAAGGAAATTGACGCACTCTGTCCTGTCATCCTCAGTCAATTGCTGTCGGCCGAAAGCACGCGAACCTATGCGCTTCTTGGCGGGACATTCCCACTAGGACATTCCCACGGGGACATTCACCCGCGGGACACACTTGGATCGCATCGTATCGGGCCAACACCTTATCCCGGACGAGTAAGACACGAGGCCAAGCCACATGGTAACGGTATATGCCTGTCCTGTCACTGTTACTCTAAATTAGAAGTTCCGGGAAGGAGGCGGGAATAAGGTTGCATTGCATGCACTTCTCGATCTGTGCGCATCGAAATGTTAGAGCTTTTAGACTTGCTGATTGTGTCTGTCAGTTGCTAATCCACCTTGTTGACACTGTCGATCGTAATGGAATGCCGAACCGATGTGATTAGGGTGCTTTTTTGCCACAGTTTGCCGGTTTTCCGAAGATCGGGTTGGTTGATCTCTCGGGCTCCGAAGAGATGATGACTGTCAGTGAGGGCGACAAGTCGAGTGTGGTGAGAGACGTTGGCAAAACGTGAGTCTCCCGAGTACAAGAACCGACGAACGCAAGAATAGGCGATCGGGCTTGGTTTAGCCGAGACTTCGATCTTGACGTGCAGGTTTTTTGGAAACCGCAGAACCGCAGTTAAGACAGTCATCGCCGTGTCGTAGACAAGAATTTTTTTTCCCGTCTGCCTCGGCAGGAGTCTTGCTCATCTCTGGGTGTTTTTTTTTCATCTTTTTCCTTTTTTTTTTTTTTTTTTTTTTTTTTCACTGCTGTCAGGGATCGGAAACTTACGGAGCTGTGCTGCTGAGTGAGTGAGTTCAAAACCGAGACATGTCCGGGTTCGTCGGTTGACTTGGGTCTGCAGATCGAAAGGAATCCTTAATCCCACGCTCCACCCCGGTTGTGACCCTGTCCAACACCCTTGGAGCAGTCCTAAATTTGAGCTGCATCCCTCAAAGCGCGATGGCGGTGGCCGGAAACACCCAGATCTGTTTCAAGTGCAATCCCACATGCGGAGTGAAGAATGCCATTGCTCGACTCCGGCGCCGACAGGCAGCACCCGCTTCCCGTTGATGAGAGATGAAATGAAAAAGTGGTTCATTGACAAGGCAACAAGCCAGAGCCGAACACGCCTCTGTGTGGTACAATGCAACCTAAGAGGGGAAAAAAAAGAGAGCTTTCCTCTTGACTCTCTCGCTCCTAGGCCCACTTGCAACAACTGTATTCCTCTCGAAATCCGCAAAAGCAACGTTTTTCATTGCACCTTCGAATCCGAGATCCGCTGCAAGCCATCTTCCCAATCCCTCATTTGGCTTGTTTGGCTTGTTTGGCTTGTTTGGCTTACTAGGCTTACTAGGCTTACTAGGCTTACTAGGCTTACTTGGCCTACGTCATGAACAATGCGGTCAAGTGTGTCTTCCTCCAGCAAAGGCGAACAAGAGCAGAGGGATCGTCTTATTTCTACGCTACGGTTTCATTGTTTCATCTTGAGCAGTTGCAGCGCGCGCGCAATACCAATCTCATCCCTTTTTACCTTTGGCAAGGCGAGCAAGGGCCCTCTTACTTTATAACTCGTGAGCGCTGACACCTTACCGTTGGCGAGAATGCAAAGAGGCACAAGCCTCCATTCAAAAAGGCTGCAGCAGCCCTGTCAAAAGCGAAAACAAAGCTCATCAGCACATTCGCAGTCTATACTGAGTTCAAGTGAGAGATCGTGACCATCGCCCATCACATGATTATGTGTTACTTGAGTGCTTGTTTTCAAATCCCTTCAGAAGACAACAAAGACTGCTTGTAAGCGATATATCTATATCAATCCTCGCTTCCTTCTTCCCGCTTGTTTGTAACTCTATCGCCGGGCTCTCTTGGAAGCTTAATTTCTCCCCACTCCTCTGCTCTGTGCTCTTGGTGCACATCCTCTGTATTCATTCCACAGTTGTAGCAAAACCCTATCCAGAAATTTCCTCCCCCCAGCACCCTTGCTTGCTCTTGGCCTCGCTTGTCATCCTTCGCCATCTCTCCTCCTCTTGGCTTTGCTTCTCTTCCCTTGCCTTTCTCCAAGCTATCCTGGTCCCTGACTTTTGTCCTGTCTCTTCTGGTACCTAACCGACCCCCCCAACTTGCCGCTACAGTAGACCTTTTCTTCGCTTTTTTGACTTTCATTTCCCGCCCTCTTCGCGCCGCTTGTTGCCGCTCTATCACTCTATCGCTGCTCTACGATTGTTCCTTGCTGCTAGCTTCGATCCTCATTCTCTCTTGCGCTTCCTCGCTTCCAACCACACCCTCCACGAACAGCAGCAGCAGCAGCAGCAGCAGCAGCAACACGCATCACCACCGGCAGCATCTCCATTGTGATGAACGCCACCGCACTCTATCTCACATCAGAGACCCGACGTTGCTAAGCTTTCCCCGGTTTAGCCAATCTCTCTCTCTCTCTTTAGCTAGCTCCCTGTTTGGTAACCCTCACCATTCTCAGCTTCCATCCTCCTTCCCATCATCACCATCCATACCTTCTAACCATCTACTTCCACCTTCATACTGCGACCTCGCTTCGCTCATCTTTCTTCGTCCTCCTCATCGTTACGACATCCCCAGCCATCCCGCTACCCACCTGCCACTGATCACTCGACATCATCTCGACTTACTAGCGACATTCCAAAGCAGAGAATTCCACTGGTCACTTCTATCGATATCGCTCATTTGTGATCACCTTCACCACCTTCGGTCTCACCTTGCTTCTTGTCTTGTCATCGCACGCCTCGATAGGCAAGTCAGCTTTTCGACTTCAACGTCACGTCTCGCTGATCTAGCCCCCCCCCCCCCCCCCCCCCCTTTTCAAAGGCTTCATTCAGCCGCATTCTTCTCGCTCCGACACTACGGCTACCCTAAGGCAACACACGCACGCCTAGCCTTTTTTTTTTCTCTCTCTACACACCTGCATTCACACCGAACCATCTGCCGCCTGCTAAAAAGCCATGCCTGGTCCTTACTCGAACAACCAGGATCACCACGATCGGTACTCTCACCACGGTGAAGCCAGCCACATGCATGATTACTACAGCAGACATGCGCCTACAAGGCCCGACTTTGCTCGATCGCAAACAGTGCCTCGAGGTCCCATCCCTGGTCCACTTCACCGCCCCATGTATCCCGATCCCCGCGCATCCGACCGAGGCTATCCAGCACATCATGCTCCTCATCCCACCTACACACGACACACTCACTCCTATTACGATGAGCGTGGCCCTCTGCCTCCCCCGCCTCTTCACCACCATCGACACGCCCAGCACGAAGACCCTTACTATGGCTTTGACGGACGATCACCGACGTCTTCCAGCCCTGCTCAGCCGCATGCGCCCTACCACTCATACCGCTACCACCCACACGCACAGCAGCAGCAGCATCCTGGCCATGGAACCCCTCGACACCACCCCGCAAACGCTCATCAGGCTTCCTTGTCGTCTGCTGCATCTTCCTCCTCGCTTCACAGCATGCGAGGATCGATGGCCAACCCAATGGCCATGCCCACCGCTTCGCAGCAGCAGCAGCAGCCCACCTACCGTGGTTACATCAAGACCACCAAGGATGCCATCCTCCTTCTAGCTGCTTGCGATTTGGTCCAAGATGCAGGTGCACCTGGCTTGCCTCCTCCCCGTCGCGTCACTCGCCGATTGCTCGACTCGGAACGTGCCGACTTGATCTGCTCTGGCAGCATTTTTGTATGGGATGAGAAGGAGGCCGGCATGCGTCGTTGGACTGACGGCAAGTGCTGGTCTGCCAGTCGCGTCAGTGGCTGCTTCTTGACCTACCGCGAACTTGAAGCTCGTAAGAAGCCCTCTTCTTCCATCACAGGTGGTCCCACCTCCAACCTCTACAAAGCAGAAGGTCTTATCAAGCAGTCTTTCAGCATGACTACCACCTCTGGCCGCAAGCTCCACGTCATCTCCTACTGCACCAAGCGCGATGTCCGTGAAGGTCTCCTGCGTCGTGTCAGCCAAGATCCCCGCTTTGTTGGCGAGAACGGCGGCGAGTGGGGTCTTGAGGTGGATGAGGCCGAGTATCCTGACCCAATCAGCAGAGCTGGTGACCTTGCACCCGGTCTCAACCCAGAAGTTGATCTCGAGGGTTCGCAGTCGCCCCCTGGTCCTTCGCATCTTGAGCTGGCTCAACACCGAAGCTCTCGAGGTGAGGTCATTGCTCACTCGAGGGAGAACAGCTACCATGATCGCAAGATGGATGTTGCTGGTCGCTCCTACGTTGATGCTCGTGGTCCTCCTGTTGACCGTAGTCGAGTTTCTTCGGATTCTAGGGATGCCCATCATCACACAGCTGGCTCGCGACAGATGCCTCCCTACGGCCATGCCAAGGCTAAGCCAACTGAGAGGCTGCCTTACCCTGCCGAGGTCACTCCTCTGCACGAAGCACGTGGTCTGCTTCCCATCCGCCCCATCCCCGTTGACTCCAAGTTCGCCGATCTTCCCTTGCGCCGCTCGAGCGATAAGTCGGTACCTGAGCTTGCACCTCACCACGCACCCCACGATGCCGGTCATCTCTACGGCCGCAAGCGATCCTACCAGGATCTCCGTGGACCTTCTTCCTTCAACCATGATGCAGCCAGCAAGCCCACTCGTCCTCGTCTCCAGCGCTTGAGGAGTTCCAGCCTGAGCTACCCTCACAGTGCCTCGTCTGGCTCTGGCTCTTCTGCCGCACAAGACATGCTTGCACCTATACGACCCCTCGGTAGAGGCGGATCGGACGACGAAGGCGTCTCCAAGCTTCGTTCCACTCATGGTGCCGGCGCTGGTGTGAGGGAACAATACGATTCAGCAGTCGGCGCATTGCTCAGCTTGCGGAGTGGCAGCGGGTCAAGTGATGATTCTAGCTCGCTCAAGACTACTTCTGTTGTCACCTCCGCTCCTAGTACTGGTGGTGGTGAAGCAGAGGATGTTTCCAGCAAGCCAGGCTTCAGTAGGATTGATAGGGCCGCCTTGGATCGCTTCAGTGTTAGGATCTAGTATGGACTCTCTCTTTCTTGTCGTCTTTCTATGTAATTTTAGTTCTTGTATACCATAATCACATCAGCTTTCTAATGAACCTTGTAGTCTCTCGTTCTCTAGTCGCGATTTCAAGGTTCAGGTTTTTCATAGTCACTCCAGCGTTAATGATCGTGACAAGTTGCTGTTTTCATCTCAAAAGGAAAAGGTGCCAAAAGAAAGGAGCGGGGAGCAAGTAAGGGGCTGCTTACCATATTACAGCGCCCAGGATGAAGTCTGTGGGATCTTGCTATTGTCCGAGGTCGAAAAGCTCACTTGTTTCCCCCTGCCTCACCTCAGCAAGCGTGTTCATCATCATGGCGGTCACACTGAGCTCAAATCGACTCGACTCGGTTCTGCTCGATAGCGACAGGTATGATTTGAGTTAACTGGTGTTGGTCTCTTTGCTCCCACCGCAAGTCCCCACCGCAAGTCCCCACCTCACGTCCCACCGCAAGTCCCCACCTCACGTCCCACCGCACGTCCCACCGTCTTTGTTATTGTATGGTGTTTCTTGACAACGGCCCACGTTCACTTTGAAGCAGTCCATTGTGAGCGTGGAAGGACTGCAGCCCTAGCACCTCCACCAGTACCATCATATGGCTGTCAATGTATCACAAACGCTTGTGCTAAGATAGGCGTAGTTATACCATACATCTGGTATAGTCATATCACATACCAACTTAAGTATCCAAGAACTCCAAACATGTTGTGCTACCTCTGAACAGAGTGTTCACATTGATCAGCCGAAATGCATTGGAAAACAATCACGTGATGTGATTCACCGAGATTGGTTGGAACAAGCTCACTCAACACATCTCACTGACATTTGCTGGAACAAGCTCATCCAGCAGATTTCGCGTTTCAGGTGCGCGACTGCTGACACAGGCCTTGTGGTTGGATCGTCTGTTCCCAAGGCTTCTACCACTTGATCGCCAAGACCTTCTGGCTCAAGCCAACCAATGTTGGTAGGCAACCCATCATGATCAAGGGCGGTTGTGTTTTCAAACAGCCAGATGGTGCGAGGCTCTGCAAATTAGCCTACTGTAGAGGTTGTTCAAGTTGGCGTGCCAGAAAGGGTAAACATCGGGTTCTCGATTGGTAGCCCTTTTGGTATGAGCATAGTTGGAAAGAGTGACTCATGACATTGTTGCAGAGTAAGACATACAGACAGGCAGAGGCGAGTGAGGATAAGGAGGCGTTGGGGGGTATGCGCTCCTTGCAAATGCCATGTATATACACCGCTAGCCAGAACTCAGCCAAGTTTCTGTTGATTCTGGCCCATGCGCTGCCTTCTTGTGACCTTCTTGTGCTCAATACATAATGATGCTAGCCATGTGTGACACTCGTCTCATAACACTTTTTTGCCCTCTGAAGTCACTTTCCGTGCCGGTTGGCCGAAAGTGTGAAGGCTGGTACACACCAAAAGAGGCAAACTTTATTGCAGCCAGCCGTTGCACTCAAACTCGGCATGAATTGTTTCCACGCCCTCAGCGCTGTGCAGCAACGAGCAGTAGCATGACGAGACAATGCTGCACTCTGCACTGCAAGCTGCAGTGTTTCCGCCCACCCCTCTCTTTTCTCTGCTGCAACAACGGTACGAAAAAAAAAAAAACAAAAAAAAAAAACAAAAAAAAAGAAAGAAAGAAAAAATAATAATAAATCATGGGTGAGAAGCAAATCCGCCTTCCCCTCCCCCTATAGAAGAAGTGACGGGCGAGAGACATGATGTGGCCCGGCCGCTGGTCTCCGTTGCATCAGCAGCAGCAAATCGAATGGTCCAAATCATGGGAATGGTTTGCTCGCTCGTTTCAGGAAATCGCGGTGTGCGTGAGAGAGTGAGCAAAAAAAAGTCAGAAAAAGCGAGACTCCGGTTCAGGTTCTTTCTTTTCCTTTTCTTCGACCTCCGCCCACTTCTTGCAGACGAAGAGGAGTCTGAGTTCAGAAACGATGCTGTTCCGTCATCGACTCCCTGCCTTTTTCGACATCGAAGAGCGGACCTTCAATCGCACCAAAATCGCTCTTTTTTCACAGGTTCCAGGCCACAAAAAAAAGAAGAAAAAAAAAAAAAGAAAAAAAAACCATCATGGGAAGGGTACAGACGCTTGTCCACATGGTACATGGCACATGGCACAAGGCTCCAGTTAAACAGTGCTTGACCCTGCAGCTCTTCTTTCTTTTCTGCGACAACACGTCGTCGGCCGATAGAGTTGATGTATATGTAGTGTGTGTCCGCCCATCAGAGGCAACGTAACTTACTGTAGAAGCCGTTCCTGCTGGCATAAGTTAACCTACAGCTAAACTGGCTTCCTTTTTTGGCAACTTTCCTGCTCCCTCATATGCACCCACGATCTGCAACTTGTGCTTTGGGAGCATTCAAGGCATCGAATGCCGTGGCTTCTTCCCACTTCACATCTGCAACAATCAAAGCCGAACTTGAGTAAAGGCTTTCTACTCGTTTGGTTGACTGCTATCGCTCAAACAGGCGCGCTTTCCTGGCAACACAAAACCTGAAACCAAGCCACACTTGTCTGGCCACCTGTCATCCCCCCTTTGGCGGCTGCTGCTCCTCCTCCTCCTCGGCCTCCTCTCGCTTAGGGTGCTCTATTCCTCCTCTCTCTCTCTCTCTCTCTTGACACTTACGCAACGAGGCTTCGAGGTCCTTCATAATGCTTTCTCTCTCTGCTTTCAACAGAACCAATTGACCGGTCCGGTGTTGCTTCACTCCCTCCATATCTATTTCACATTGTCCCACCCACCACAACCAACTGACGAGCATGCACTCGACTTCATAGACGGCTCTCGATTCACCAGACTCCCTCTCGACCTTCCCCTGCAGCAGCACTTCATTTTCTTGCACCACATTTCCTTGGCGGACCGACAAGATGTCGACAACACAGCGCACTGGCGGCCGCCAGCGGTACATGGCCGCGTACGCGCACCAATCGCATCCACACAACAAAGCAGAAGCAATCTATCGACAAGCCTCGTTCGATCGCAGCCTCGATTCTGTCCGCTACGCTTCCAACGCTAGCCAACCCAGTCTCTCTCACAGCATCGCAACTTACACCGAATCGACACCTTGCTCGGTCTGTCGACCTGATTTTGGAGACTACCACCAGGACATGTCCCATAGCGACTGCGGTGCTAGTTTTGTTTCTGAAGTCCCACCGAGCTTTGACGACACTTCGGATATCGAAGGAGTCGGTATGGTCAACAACAACTCGAAGCCGACCTTGATCAAGTTCGTTGAGCCAGTGGTTCAGCGTGATCGCGATCAGGGGCAGGGACAGCAGCATAGGTTGACGGGGATGAAGAAGAAGATCCAACGCAAGAAAGCAGCTCTAGATGGCGAACCGGATGTGCATCAGCTACCTGTACTTGGCTTTGCCGACGGTCGAACTAGGTACGCAGCTTCGGGAGAGGATAAGGATATGCTCAACTTCCCTGGTGTGCCTCCTAGGGAGCAGCTTACAATGCCACACAAACAGGAACAGTGGAACGTCGACACCATCAATATTGCGCTCGAGGATTTGGTGCTGGACAAGGGCAAGGCTCGATCCACTCTGACTGCTGCCGACGATGCTGAATCGAGGATCCGTTCCATGATGGCTGCCAACATGAAGGGTGGAGCAGCAGCTGCCTCGGTGCTGGAAGAGGCACATCAGGACGAGAGACAGTCGATGCTACGACAACGTGCTCTTTCCCTGAGCTCGCAAAAATCTGCCGGATCATCAGCACACCGCGCTCCTGATGCTTGCTTGCCACCACTCCCTCCGCTTCCCTCCCCTTCCACCTCTGCTAGTCAGGACAGCATCGTTTCTCCCTCAGCCAACGGCAAGGTCGCCGGCCTGCAGCCCAGCAACGACCATCCTCTCGCCGCCGCCACATCTTGCTCGACTCGCAACAGCGCCGTTCCGAGCAACTCGAGCGACACTCCGGACGAAGATGAAAAGGTCTTCGCCTTCTACCTACCCAGCCTCAGCCTCTCCAATTATAGTCATGCTGAAGACCAGCTCGGGGCTGCCATGGGCCCGCGCCTCTCCACTTGCACTTCCACCAAACGTCTCGACTCAATGACATCCTCCAACCACAGCAGCCTCAGAGACCTCGATCCACGCGTAGTCATCCAACGTGCTCGCATGCAACCTCTCTCATGCGGTCTCGATGCCGAACTCGACGACTCTGCCACTTTGGCATCCGACTCCACCTCCAGCCTCGGCGGCCACCACTCTGCCATTAACCCCGAGGACCTCCCTCCCTTGCTCTCCAACCATTACCTACAAGGCAAAGTCAACCCGGCTGAATTCGAACGTCTCAACCGTCTCCCCGAACGTCAACAGGCTCTCGCCGCTGCAGCAGCTGCCAACGCTGCTTCTCATCGATTAACCCACAAACACCTCTCCAAGCACAAAAAAGGTGCCGGCGCAGCTGCAGTCAACACTTGCGAACCGATCAGCATCCTTCGCGCTGAAGCTGCGTTTCTTAAGCAAGATGTGAAGAAGGAAAAGAAAAACAGACTCTGGCTGGGCGGCAACTCAAGCACCAACAGCAGCGTTAGCAGTAGATCTCACGGAGCAGCAAGCAGCAGTAGCGGGTTGGGCGGTAGGGGCGCGTTACACGCTTCCGTGTCGGATGTATCGAGCGTGTCGGAAGGCCATCAGAGATTGAGGAGCTTTAAGAGCTCGATTCGCTTGAAGAACTTGAAATGAGACCAGGACCTTAAGAGAAGGCGTTTGCACTGTTTATAGTACAGTAGAAAGCAGGCTGGGCTCAACAATCACATACATCCAATACCCCTCATCATCGTTCATAGTAGAAAGATCATTTCACAGCATGCTTATCCAATCACAGTTGTTCTCCTCTGCCAGTGGTGAGAGAGCTTGTGTTCGTAGCCTGTGCTTTGTATATGATGCTGGCATCTATCGTGGGCCCTGAGTGACTTCGACGCCGTCAAGCAACTACATCCAGCCTTCTATGCTCGTGTACAACATCTCCGCCCACTTCTCCAGGACCTTGGTCTTTGTTCATTTCCATACGACATTCAAGAAGCGATGTCAAGTGTTGTGTAGGGGCTGTTTGCTTATGAGGCGTGCTTTTCCAACGATAGACCTCCCGCAGTTCGAGGCAAACATACGGGTCTTGACGAAGCCGAGTAAAAACAGTGAAAGCACGTGATCCTTTGCTCCGGGAATGCTGTTTTCTCCGAGCATGTGGCTCTAGCTCCGACTCCACACAAACAACAACTTTGCTCACCTGGATATACACATGCCACCTGGGCTGACCACTGGACTTTAGACTCTTGGCCTTTAGACACCATGACAACCATCAGGACTCAGAGCACCATGCAGTAGATAGCCAACACCTATCCCTGTAATCTCCATGTTGAGCACCATCCTCATCACTCCTGTGTAAAGTACACAAATACACAGGACATCAAGACACATATATACACCCTAGCATTGTCATGTACTTAGAATGATCATCATTGCAATTGATACTTGTGATCAACAATATTTGATGTGCGAACTTTAACAGATTAAGAGTCTGAACGCTCTTGCAACAACACCATGCCCTCGTGTAAGCGGTCACGCACCAGAGACTAGTTTTGGGTGTTATTTGTTCGGTATAGATGAGGTTGATTGAGTAAGGTCTACTCAATATGTTTCAACTTAAACATAACCAGATGTCTCTGACTGGTAAGTCTTGGCTGACTGCCTTGAACACTCTGTTCAGAGGTTGCACAGCATGAATGCTGTTCATTGGGGAGTGAGTGATACACCCTCTCCTACAGTACAAGTGTTCATAGTACTGTTGATAATGCTCTTGGATGTTGTCTGGACTGCAATATGCTAATCACCTACAGAGGATGGGAGTTACTGGACCACAGGTGTGAGCCACTGCCTACAATAACTAACTGGACTGCAAGTGTTGAAGAACACTGCCTACAGTTGAGAACTGGACTGCAAGTGTCTGAAAGACACTGCCTACAGTTGATGCCTAATGGTGATACAACACACACGTTTGAGGGTCATTGCAAGAGCACTGCTATTGCAATGGTACAAAACTAAGAGTCAAGTAAGTAAGTAAGTAAGTAGCATGTATAGTGGATAAGGATCCACTCATATGCTATGGTGAAACAGGAGTATTTATGTGTTCAATTGGTGTTGCCTGCAACACCTATCTCATTCCCCCTTGAGGGGCCCTTGTCCCTTGTTTGACACTGTCTCCCCTGCTAGCATCAATCCCATGGGTGCTGCACCCCTACCATCTGTGCAGCATACTGGTTTTGCAACACTGCCCCTTTTGCCTTCATGCTCCCCTTCTGCCTGATGGTGTGTGTCGACCCCTTTGACACAACTCCTCCTTGTTGTTTAACCAATCTGTTCACTGCTCCCTTCTCTCCTCACCGGTGACCACCTTCCCATCCTTATCTTGTGAATCCCCTTAGCCACCCATTGGACCTCATGACCAACCACTTGGTCATGTGGTTGCCCCCTGTGCTTGGGCCTGTGTGGCTATATGCACACACCCCTCAAGCAGTAACCATTTGCATGATGCTGAGCTCAGTCCTCCACTCCTGCATATGGTTATCTCCATGTGCTTCTCCTTCTAACACCTGTATCTTCCTTCCTGAATCCCACAGTACTTGCTCATATCAGCTGACTTGCTGGGGCATGCCGATCTGATCAACTCTCATGAAATTAACCTGGTGTCAGGGGTCTCGCGCCTGAAACCCAGGTCGGTCTGTCGAGATACTCGGTGACTATCAAACTGTGCAACAGCTATTGTCTCGGTATCGGTGACTATCAAGTTGCACAGTGACAGCAGGTGACATTCGTTGTATATACTATCGTAGGTTTTGGCTGACCTCTGTGGACACTCTGTTCAGGGGTAGCTTGGCATGATCAATATCAATGCTATGATGACACCAAGGTCTGGTGTGAGTGTTGATGATGATGAGGTTGATGACATTGGTGATAAGGTTGGTGGGTGTTGATGATAATGAGGTTGATGGTGTTGGTGATAAGGTTGGTGGTGTCAACACGAGTGTCCAGTGTGTTGACTTGATGCTTGAAGTGATCCCTGGACCGCAGTGGACTACTGCCTTCAGTTCTATCTATATCCGGACCGCTAACCTGCTATGGGTGCCTTTGGATGTCAGGTAGTGGTGATACAACACACACACTATGATGAGGAGCAACCTTGGTAGATTGCTGCTATGCTGACTGAAACTAATATATACTTATGCTGAAGTGATAACTAGTTATGGTGAGTAGAGTGGATGGGGATCCACTCAACCTTTGATGATGAGAAAGCATGGTTATATACCTCTTCACAGCATCGCCAGTGATGCTGCTCCTGCTCTCTTTCCAGAGAGTACCTTCTTCATCGAGTACTGCTCAGGGGCCTCTCCTGCTTGGCACCCCTGTGTCTCTTGAGTGGTGTCGACTCCTTCGACACTGCTCCTCCTCCTCATGACCTGGTGTCGACTCCTTTGACACTGCTCCTCTTCCTTTGACCAGTGACAGTTCCTTTGACTCTTGTCTCTCAAGCCCCTGAGTGGTAACCATCTGAGCTTGGTCCTCTTCATGGCTGTGCCTGCTCCTTGAGCTTGGTCCTCCTCATGGCTGTGCCTGGCCCTCCTCGCATATGGCTCGGTCCTCCTTTGCATGTGAGTCTGTAGGAGTCCATGGTCTCCATGGAGACTGCACTACGACCATGCTCTCTACTGGTGTCGACTAGATCTTCGATACCTGTGCTCCTTCCATATGAACCAGCGACCCTCCTGCTTCCTGAGCATTTAGGCCCATGACACCTGGTAACTGGCACTTGGTCGATCTTGTAAATCAAATGTGCTTCTGGCCCGATTGGCTTTGTCAATTCCTGATGACTTGGTGCTGACTGATTCTGCACACCCTTCATATGTTGCTCCATTGATCCTGTGACAGTTACCATGAGTGCCGTTAGTCAATTTGGCGCACCCTTCTTGCGCTGACCTGCTGGCCCTGTGACACCTCGCACCCCAATGACCCACACACTGCAAACGACCCAGTTCCTGAGGAATCATCCGATGACCAGGCTGAAACAATCTCCACATCACATGGACACCAGATAACTACTGGACATGACACCCCCTCCTCCAACAAATCGGACAGTGATGAAAACGAACCAAATGAACCTCCACTTGACCTTAATGACATCAACAAGCTAAATGTCACCACCCTTCGAAACAAGCTCATAGAGCTCACCCTTTGCAAACAAGCTGAAACATCTGCATCATACAAAAAGCCCTCTCACTGCTCTACCTTCCACCATGAACTCTCTTGTATCAATGATGCCATGAAGGAGATGCCCAAGTTAACCACAAAGAACTGGTATGCTTGGAACCCATGACTCCAAAGCATCCTTTCTAACTGGTCACCTGCCCTAAAGCACCTTGACAGCATTACCAAGCCAGGAGACAAAAAGTTCAATTGGAAACTGGACAGAAACCTTTGTATGATCCTCCAAAGCCATGCCAAACTCACAGGGACTGATAACATCAACTACCTATTCATCCAAACTGCCAAGGCCAAACCCTGGAGGCTACACAAACTATACAGTCACCTCAAGAAAGACCTCACCAAGATGGAACACATTGCTGAGTTGACCCTCCTGAATGAAGCCAGCAGGATCCAGATGTTCAACACAGATGTCCAGAAACTTGTTGCAGATATCAACAAACACTGGGCAAAAGCTGAGTCAATGGGATACAACCTAACTCGGGTCCTCAAGATCAAGACACTGATTGACCAGACAAAGTTCATTGCAACCTATCAAAACTGCATTACCAACCTCCAAGACAATGGCTGAGCTGTGGACTATGAAGCAATCTGTGCAGCACTCTTCAAATGCCAGGATGACATGATCACAAAATCCAGCCACAGGGTGGACAGCAATAAGACCCCCCAAGCATTTGCTGTTAGCAGCCAAATCATGAATCAGGACACTTACAGCATGGGTAAGCCAGGCCCTGACAGATGCAGGAGATGTTACTATTGTCAAGGCAAAAACCATATCAGCAGGTTCTGTATCAAGAACCTGAACAACGAGCTACACACAACTGACAACACTACTGCCACACCAGCCCCAACCAACAACCAGACGTCTGCCTAGGACATCTGGTGCACTGTTGCCACTGCTTACTGTGCATCCATAGATCAGCAATCCACTGCATGGATAGTTGACTCAGGTGCAACTGACCATGTCATGAATGATAAAACAATCCTTACCTCTTCCACCCAATGCACCAGGTTTGTGAAGACTGCTGGCAGAACACTAATCAGAATCATGGCTAAAGGACAGGTTATCATTAACGTCAATGGATGTAAAGTGCACCTTAACAATGTACTCTATGTCCCCAATGCAAGTGTTAATCTGATGTCAGTACAAGCATTAGCAAATGACAGTGTATGTGTGATATTCAACTCAGACAATGTATGTCTGAAATGGCCTAATGGACCCAAGGTAATTGGACATACCAATCCATGCACGAGACACTGGGAAATCTACTCTGATGATCCAGAGGGACTCATCACAACAGCAGACATCAAAACAGAGGCATTACCAGAATGATTTGACCCCAATGATCAACATAAACCATGGCAATTCAGCAATGACTTCTTCCATGAATGATGTGGCCATCCTGGGCATGATAAGACACAGATGATTGAAAAGGCATACAACATCAAAACTGAACCATGCAAATGCCAAGACTGCCTAGCCACCAAATCAACAAAAGCTCAAATGGGTCAAGGTAGCAGTGAACATGCTCAACTCCCACTTGAGCTAGTCCACATTGACTTGGCCACCCACTTCTCTATGAAAATGGAATTCACATGCTTACTGGTAGCTGTAGATGATGCATCAAGCTTCACTTACATAAAGCCACTACACACCAAATCAAATACATTACAGGTACTCAAAGAATGGACTATATATGCTGAAACACAGACCAGCCACAAGCTCAGGACACTCTGATTGGACAATGGAACCAAATGGACCTCTGCAGCCACCACTGCATGGCAAAACAAGGCTGGTTTCCACTGGCAGAAAATGTCTGTGTACAATAGTGAGCAGAATGGCAAGGCTGAAAGGACCATCAGAACCATCAAAAACATGATGATGGCCATGATGTGAACTCACAGCCTGCCCCAAACCTTCTGGCCATTTGCAGCTGAGGCAGCAGCATTCACAAAAAATGTAATGCCAAACATGGAGAACTGGATACCATACCAGATCTTCTATGACAAGGATCCCCAAATGACATTCAAACTACTCTGAACCTTTGGTTGTCTTGCCTGGGTACACATACCTAAGGCCAAGAGAAAGAAACTGGATGACACTGCCATACCTGCAATCCTTGTTGGATATGATGAAGAACATAAGGGGTGGAAATTCATCTCTCCACACCATAACCCACCTATCTTCTGGTCAAATGCAGCAAGATTCTGTCAGGGGTCTCGCGCCTGAAACCCAGGTCGGTCTGTCGAGATACTCAGTGACTATCAAGTTGTGCGACAGCTATTGTCTCGGTATCGGTGACTATCAAGTTGTGCAGTGACAGCAGGTGGCGTTCGTTGTATATACTATTGTAGGTTTCGGCTGACCACTGTGGACACTCCGTTCAGGGGTAGCTCGGCACGATCAATATCAATGTTATGATGACACCAAGGTCTGGTGTGAGTGTTGATGATGATGAGGTTGATGGTGTTGGTGACGAGATTGGTGATGTCGATGATAATGAGGTTGATAGTGTTGGTGATAAGGTTAAGGTTGGTAGCATCAACACGAGTGTCCAGTGTGTTGACTTGATGCTTGAAGTGATCCCCGGACCGCAGTGGACTACTGCCTTCGGTTCTAACTTGATCCGGACCGCTAACCTGCTATGGGCGCCTTCGGACGTCAGGTAGTGGTGATACAACACACACACTATGATGAGGAGCAACCTTGATAGATTGCTGCTATGCTGACTGTAACTAATGAGTACTTGTGTTTCTAAAGTATTGACTAGTTGTATGGTGAGTAGAGTGGATGAGGATCCACTCGACCTATTGATGATGAGAAAACATGGTTATATACCTCTTCTCAGCATCGCCAGCGATGCTGCTCCTGCTCTCTCTCCAGAGAGTACCTTCTTCATCGAGTACTGCTCAGGGGCCTCTCCTGCTTGGCACCCCTGTGCCTCTTGAGCTGTGTCGACTCCTTCGACACTGCTCCTCCTCCTCATGACCTGATGTCAACCCTTCGACACTGCTCCTCCTCCTCATGACCTGGTGTCGACTCCTTCGACACTGCTCCTCCTCCTCATGACCTGGTGTCGACTCCTTCGACACTGCTCCTCCTCCTCATGACCTGGTGTCGACTCCTTCGACACTGCTCCTCCTCCTTTGATCAGTGACAGTTCCTTTGGCTCTTGTCTCTCGAGCCCCTGAGTGGTAACCATCTGCATGCTCCTTGAGCTTGGTCCTCTTCGTGGCTGTGCCTGCTCCTTGAGCTTGGTCCTCCTCGTGGCTGTGCTTGGCCCTTCTTTGCATGTGAGTCCATAGGAGTCCATGGTCTCCATGGAGACTGCACTACAACCATGCTCTCTACTGATCTCGACTAGATCTTCGATACCTGTGCTCCTTCCATATGAACCCGTGACCCTCCTGCTTCTTGAGCATCCAGGCCCATGACAGATTCCTGGAAAGCAAATCTTGGGGTGATCACACAGATATACTCCCTATCCAAGACACTGAAGGGATACAGTATGACAATTCAGCAGATATTGAACATATGGGCTACACTGACAAGGACATCCACAACAAACAATTACAACAACTGATAAATGACATCCATCTGCTACCTGAAGATCAAGACCTAGAACTCAAGGGGGACAAAACATGGCAGAGCCCCAGCGGTTCCAGTAACGATGAACACCAGTGCGCCCTCCAAGCAACATACTTCCCAGCAATGGACAACACCAACAACAGGTTTGGAGAAGCACAAAAATGCTACCTGTGGTTACACCCCACCACAATCACCAAAGCACTTCAAATCTACAAGAATCATCTGACTGCACCCAGGGAGCTACAGCACTTCCAAGAAAAGCTCTGTTGACAAGGAAAGATTGAGGCACCCAGCCCCTTTCCAAACACTGACCTGAGCATGACCACACCCACAACACACAACTTCAAGCCAATGGTCAAAGAAGCACTTAATGGACTGGATCAGGTTCATTGGCATGAAGCTATATGTGCAGAAATGGAGGGACTCAAGAGCATGAACATCTGGGGAATTGTTGACAAGCCTACAAATGCACACCTTGTAGACTCCAAACTTGTCCTCAATATCAAAACAGATGCTAATGGCATTCCTTATAAATTCAAAGCTAGGTTCTGTGCACATGGATTCTCACAAAGAGAAGGCTTGGATTACATGGAAATCTTCACACTGGTAGTGCCCCATGCTGCAATCCAGACAGTTCTTGTGATTGCCACCAAACTGGACTGGGAACTCAACTCAATAGATGTCAAGCAAGCATACCTAAATGCCAAATTAGAGCATGAGATTTATCTCAAGCCTCTGGAAGGTGCAAATGTACAGGTGGGCAAGGTATACAAATTGATCAAGAGCCTCTACAGCCTCAAACAGTCTGGATGAGAGCAGCACAAAGAACTCAACTTGCACCTATGACATCTAGGGTTCTACCCGGTAAGGAGAGTACCATGTGTATATCTCTGTGGAGCAGGAAATAACCAGGTGATCATCATCATGTATGTAGATGATATGCTCATCACAGTGCCACACAGGCTCCAGGTTGACACAGTCAAACAAGCTATTATGGACAAGTGGCAAATCGAGGACAATGGCCCAGCAAAGGAATTCCTCAAAATCAAGATCACATGTGATTGCACAAACTGGACAATAGCATTAGATCAAAGAGCATACATTAGAGACATCATTAGCAAATGGGTAAAACCAGAGGAAAAGACTTGGACACCCATGATTGTGACTCCTGCTAAAGCCCCTGAGAACCTTACAATCAACAAACATATCAAGCAACAATATCCAACCCTAGTAGGAAAGCTCCTTTGGGTTTCAAACACCATCCACCCAGACATCTGCTATGCTGTCAACATCCTCACATGGCACATGTCAAAACCAACAACCAAAGCCATGCAAGTGGCACTATGCATCATCAAGTATTTAAATCAGACACAGGACAAAGTGTTACTACTTGGCAGTCAGGCAAGCAACAGAACTGCCATAGAAGCATACACCAATGCAAACTGGGCTTCAGACCCCCACACCCAGCAGAAAAGCACCTCTGGTTCTGTAGTGAAGGTATTTGGTAGTGTCATAACCTGGAACTTGCAAACCCAGAAATGTGTCGCCAGTTCCGCTGTCGAGGCTGAGTACATCGCTGGCTCTGCTGCAGCCAGAGCGGCGTGTCATAGGAGCCGGATGCACAGGAGGCAGGAAGAAGTTGAAGTCATATGAAGGAGTGCAGAAATTGCAGGATCAGGCTAAACAAGAGCTTAAGGAAGAGTTCACTGAGATCAGCAGTAGAAACAATCCTATGGCATATCTCATCAGGATCTGTGGGAACAATGTCATTACTACAGAGTTCAGTGGAAATTGCAATATCATGCTGGGTACTGCAGATCTCATGAGGATCGATCAGAGAGGCACCCCATTGCTGATACAGTGAAGAAGAGGTCACTGAACAAGGGGGGGACACCATCAGATGAGGCAGGGGCACTACAGGGATGAAGCTGGCAAAAGGAGGTGGGTGCTGAATATAAAGAAAGGATGAAAGGGTGTGAGTTGCCACCCAGTTGAGGTGGGACTGGCCCCTGACAAAGATGAAGCAGCCAGAGGCCACCCATCCAGAGGAGGCAAGGAGGCAGTGCCAATGAGTGGCAACACAAGGTGGATGGGGAGCATAGGAGGGATGAGGAGGATGAGCAGTGTCACAGGTGACATTGCAAGAAAGGTATATAACCATGTTCTCTGTCCTAGCAAGAGAATGGATTGCCATCCACTCTACACCATACACTACTGTCAGGGGTCTCGCGCCTGAAACCCAGGTCGGTCTGTCGAGATACTCGGTGACTATCAAACTGTGCGACAGCTATTGTCTCGAGATACTCGGTGACTATCAAGTTGTGCAGTGACAGCAGGTGGCGTTTGTTGTATATACTATCGTAGGTTTCGGCTGACCTCTGTGGACACTCCGTTCAGGGGTAGCTCGGCACGATCAATATCAATGTTATGATGACACCAAGGTCTGGTGTGAGTGTTGATGATGATGAGGTTGATGGTGTTAGTGATGAGATTGGTGATGTCGGTGATAATGAGGTTGATGGTGTTGGTGATAAGGTTGGTGGCGTCAACACGAGTGTCCAGTGTGTTGACTTGATGCTTGAAGTGATCCCCGGACCGCAGTGGACTACTGCCTTCGGTTCTATCTATATCCGGACCGCTAACCTGCTATGGGCGCCTTCGGACGTCAGGTAGTGGTGATACAACACACACACTACGATGAGGAGCAACCTTGATAGATTGCTGCTATGCTGACTGTAACTAATGAGTACTTGTGTTTCTAAAGTATTGACTAGTTGTATGGTGAGTAGAGTGGATGGGGATCCACTCGACCTATGATGATGAGAAAGCATGGTTATATACCTCTTCACAGCATTGCCAGCGATGCTGCTCCTGCTCTCTCTCCAGAGAGTACCTTCTTCATCGAGTACTGCTCAGGGGCCTCTCCTGCTTGGCACCCCTGTGCCTCTTGTCGACACTGCTCCTCCTCCTCATGACCTGGTGTCGACTCCTTCGACACTGCTCCTCCTCCTTTGATCAGTGACAGTTCCTTTGGCTCTTGTCTCTCGAGCCCCTGAGTGGTAACCATCTGCATGCTCCTTGAGCTTGGTCCTCTTCGTGGCTGTGCCTGCTCCTTGAGCTTGGTCCTCCTCGTGGCTGTGCCTGCTCCTTGAGCTTGGTCCTCCTCGTGGCTGTGCTTGGCCCTCCTTTGCATGTGAGTCCATAGGAGTCCATGGTCTCCATGGAGACTGCACTACGACCATGCTCTCTACTGGTGTCGACTAGGTCTTCGATACCTGTGCTCCTTCCATATGAACCCATGACCCTCCTGCTTCTTGAGCATCCAGGCCCATGACACTACCCCCCTCTTAAGAGCCGAGCTCCGTCGAGGCGTGCTCTGGTCTGGTTCATGCTGACTCCTCCTCCTTGACAACATCGCCAACATCATCCTTCCTCCTTCTCTCAACGTCATCCTCCTTCCTCTTCCTCTCTCTACTCCTCCTGTTCTCTCCTCCTCTCTCCACTCTGTCTACTCACTCGTCCCCCCTCCGACACCTCATACTCCTGGATGAGGTCGGGACAGTTGAGGTTCTCTACTGGTTCCCATGAAGCAGCTTCCTCTGAGTACCCTCTCCACAACACCTTGTACTCCGTAGTCCCATTGTGTGAACGCTTGTCGATGAGTGCTTCGACTTCGAAATCGAGGTCCTCATCTGGAAGTGATGGTATGGTGGGCTGTTCAGCACGTTGAGGAAGAGAACTTGTTCTTGCTGGCTCGAGCATGGAGACATGGAACACATCATGCACCCTAAGGTTTGCTGGCAATGTGATTCGATAAGCTCGGCGTCCTACCCGTTCCTGAACTGGGTAGGGTCCTGCGAACCGGGTGTCTAACTTGGGTGTGGGTCTCCTTGTCTTCCAGTTTCGTCGGTTGATATAGACCATATCACCCACCTTAAACTCGATGTCCTTGTGCTTCCTGTTATACTGGTTTACTGATCTACGTTGTGCCTCTCTGATCTGCTCCTGGAGGTACTTGCAACGCTCCTTTCCATCCATGAGGTACTCGAAGCGACCTGGATCATTGACTCCTAGTCGTTGAGGGATGTCAGGATGAGCTTTGGGGTTCCATCCATAGCATGCAAAGAATGGTGAGACACCAATGCTGTTGTGGACCGTGTTGTTGTATACAAAGGCCGCAGTGTCCAGCAGGTTGGCCCAGTCATTCTGCTCATAGTTGCAGTACATCCTGAGATATTGCTCTATGACCTGATTGACTCTCTCTGTCTGACCATCAGTTTGAGGATGGTAGGCCGTGCTAAGTGAGTGCTTCACACCCATTTGCTCTGCAAATGCCTTCCATGCTCCTGATATGAACTGCCTGCCTCGGTCCGAGACCATGTGATCTGGATATCCGAAGAGTCTAACCATGTGTCCATATAGCAATACTGCAGTCTGTTTGGCTGTGACTGTCTTATGGGTTGGAGCTAGTATGGCAAACTTGGTTAACCTGTCGACGATGACTAGGATAGAGTCATAGGTCTTGGAGTCATACTTCTTTGATGGTGGTAGTCCTTCAATGAAGTCGAGGGATATGGAGCCCCAGGGCCTGTCTGGGGTTGCTAGTGGCTGTAGCAAACCATATGGACGATGACGAGGAGCTTTGTACCTAGCACATACAGGACAACTTGCTACATAGTCTGCAATCCAAGCTGTCATGTTTGGCCACCAGTAATGTCGTTGAGCTGCCTTGATGGTAGCATCTCTTCCTACGTGTCCAGCAGTGATACCATCATGGCATTGGGTCATCACCATGAATCGCAGATGCTCTACAGAGAGAGACTGTCCATCTACCTCTTTGGCACTCCTTGAGTGTCGGTTGTTGGTCCTCCCTGGCATGATCACCTTGGGGATAACCAACCTTCCTCCACTGTACCATAGGTCATCCTTGAGTTCGAAAGGCTTCTTCCTATGTATCTCCTGTAGCTCTTGGTCTAAAGGCTGGAAGATCTTGACCAGGTCTTTGAGACCTTTTGATGCTATGGACTCCATCGAGATCATGGGGGCCACTAGGAGCGAGTCATGGTCTGCTGTCTCCTTGAACACTCGAGGAGGCAGTAGTTGCCTCACATTGTGATCCTGCTCTTCACCGGCTGGTTGCATGTCTGTCCTTCTGGTGAGAGCATCGGGTTCACCACCTTTGTCTCCTGGTCGATACTGCAATATGAAGTCGAAGTCTGCTAGTAGTATTGCCCATCGAGCTTGTCGACCTGTGATGCGTCTCTGTGACTTGAAGTACTTGAGGGCTTCATGGTCAGTGAGGATGACCAGTTGGTTCGGTAGTCCAGCTAACATGTGTCGCCACTGAGTGAGGCAGGCGACCACAGCTAGGAGCTCCTTATCATGGATCTCATAGTTCTTCTCGGCAGAAGACATCTTCCTAGAGTAGAAGGCCACTGGATGCCATCGTCCTTCATGCTCCTGCTTGAGTACTCCTGCTATAGCAAAGTCACTTGCATCAGTCTCCAACCTTGTTGGAAGGTGGTAGTCGAAGTGCTGAAGCACTCCTGCTGATGTGAAGGCCTGGATGAGCTTGTGGAAGGCCTGTTGGGCCTCCTCTGGTAGCTCGAACTTCTTGAACCGTTCTATAGGCTTTACCAGTGCTGTCAAGGGCTTGGCTATGCGAGCAAAGTGGGCTATGAACCTTCGATAGAAGTTGGCAAAACCCAGGAACCTCTGGATGTCATGGATTGACTCCGGCATTGGCCACTCCTTGACAGTGCGCACCTTTTCTGGGTCCATCTCTATGCCCGTTGGCTTGATGATGTACCCCA